GTGGTGCCCCTGCATGTGCCCCAAGCCTGGCTGCTCCCTGGCTGGGGACAGTGGGACAGCTCCTGACCATCAGACCCTGCCATAACTCCCTGCACTGCACCCTGACAACAAGGTGAATGTGGAGAAATATGGCACAGAGCAAAGACTCCTCATGTTCTCATCCCTTAGCTGGCAGATGCTTCAGCAGCAGGATGACATGGAAAGGAAAATTATTTGCCTTGCTTTGATTTCTTTTTGAATTACAGAATTTGTATATGACTGTAGAACATTTTTCACCAGTATTATTATTCTAGTCTCTGAATTTATAATTTCCAAAGCTGTTCAGAATTTTATCAGGATGCAAGTCCTCTCTCTAGACATACTCATTCAAGTGCTACCCAAAGTGTTTTAGTTTTTCCCACATAAATTGGCAGTGCTCTGTATTCTTCTGTCACTGAAACTCTCATTCCAGGTCCTTCCTTTTATGTCTTAAATTTGCAGATCTCTTCTTCCTTGACCCCTAACATCTCAGCTTTGTCTCCTCAGGACAAAGCTCAAAACTAAGCTTCTTTGGCATCCTTACCTATCCTGACACCATCGTTCCCTTTCCTGATGCTATTCATTAACTCTTCTTCTTACAGTTGGTCTCTATCCCAGCTTAGGTCATACGCTCGTCTATGCCACATAGCCATTTTCACCTTAGAAACTAATTAAAATACAGCTCTGACTATTGTGAGAGGCCTTAAGCTCAATTCTTTGTTGTTATTATTAATGTTTCTAGTTGAAGAGAAAAAAAAAGAGCAAAAAAATGTGTATGCTTACAAAAACATCAGTGTTACGTGTGCCAAAAAAGGCTCCTGTATCCTAGCATTTGTTTCTCCATCTGTTGAATGTAAAAGCCAGGAAACAAGGACTGGCTTTTTGGGGGCTTTTTTTTAGTATTCCTTTGGTTTCTATCGAGAGGAAGCCCTAAAGGGGCTCTCTAATGATGCTTAACCCTACTCCCTACCTGCACTAAATATAATACAGGTAATATCTTACCTGTTACTTCTATGGGAAGTAAAAATTTATACATTGTGGAGGTATGCTGATGAAATTAATCTCTCCAGATTAGTCTGGAGGAAATCCTACTTTGCAATATAGAAATCCAGTTCTCTTTAAGGTGGCCTTCCCTTGTTCCAGTTCCAGAGGAAGAAAATGGGATTAAAAAGACAGTGCAAGCATGGACCTGAAAATGTACTTTGTGCAACTTTACAGGCTCCAGAGCAACAGCAGTCTCAATCTCAGTGCTCCTAGATTCAGGAGGTTTGGATGCGAAGTTTTGTTTCGTCATTTGTGTTTAATATTTGTCTTAGCTTGCCTGTTTAGGACATCTTATACCAATAAGCAAAATTTACTTAAAAGATACTGGAAATTATCAACAAGAAAAAAAACCTACAAACTGTTCTTTATTACATTTCTGTTTGGTAAAATGGAAGAAAGTGACAAAAACCCGTGAAATTTTATCTGTTAAAAAAGTTGCATTTTATCTGTCTGGCCACAGAGTGTCAATGTTTTCCCACACATGTCTCAATGGAGAGCCTATCTCCAGCGGAATCAGCTCCTGCCAAACAGCAGATGTCAGAGTTCCTGCTTTGATTTGGGGGGAGGCCCTCGACACCCTTTTGCAGGTGGTCACTTTGAAACAGGTTTTACTGAACAGCAGCTGTAGGTTTGTCTGCAGAACAGAACTGGAGCGAGGTGTCAGCTCCATGCAGGTCACATTCAGCTCCAGGTTGTTTTCACATCAGATTTAGCTGGCATCCTATCCTAGGAGACCACAGTTTGAGTGAAAACAGTTAACCTACTGATGGGAAAAAATGGTGCTTAATGAGGAGAAAAACAAGAATCACTTTGAAGAGTTTTCTTCCTTTAATATCTTTAACAGGTCACTGACAGTTGCCATCACAACTCTTCACTGTGGTCACTTACAGAGCTACAGAACAAGCATTAAAATCCACAATTAACAAGATCATAGGTTCCTGTAAACTTGGGTTTATCTATGACTCTGCACCCCTTTGTGATCTCCAGGTTTGACAACACATCGTTAGGAACGGAATAACAGAATCAGGCTGCATTAGGGTTTGGGGTATAATCCCATGCCAAGCTATTCTCCATTTTGAATTTCTAGTGTCCCCACCTTGGTCACCTGAGGAAAGCCCTTCACAGTCACCTGCTGTCAAGAGATGTAAACTGAGGCTGTTGGTGTAAGAGAGAGGGATCAGCACCTGAGCTGACCCACCAAGCCAGCAACACACATGATCTGTGTGGTGTCCTGGGGAACAATTCCTTTTGCTCTACAAAGCTTGTCTCTGAACAGCATTGCTTTGCCTGGCTGGCCTATTTAATGCTTTCATAACACTTCCAGTCAGTCATAACTTTTCCAAGATGGATATCAGGTTTCATAACCCTTTTCCTTGTAGAAAAAGAAATGTTAGAAGAAGGTTGCTTTTTGTTATTGCTGGCTTCTGCAAAAAGCCACACTGAGAGAAAAAGAACTGAAACCAGTTATTTGCAAGACAATAAAATTATTTCTGCTCCACACAGAGCACTTTTGTAGCTGTTTCAGCTGCTCATAAAGCTCAGACACAATATAAACTGGCTGCAAGTGCTGTTTAAGGACTTATTGCATGATAAAATTAGTGTGAAAGCTGACTAGTGATAACTAATAAGAAGAAAAATAAACCCATGTGAATAAAAAAAAAATCCCTGACTTGGAGCTTGTGTCTTGGTGCTTGTTAAAACAACTGGGTTTCTGCATATGGTAACTAAGCAGGGTTGTCCTGCAGAACCAAAATCAGCTTTGTTTATGCAGCTCCACCTTTGCACCATTTCCCAGCAATGTCAGGAAAGGCAGCTGCTCCTGACAGACAACTCCTTTGCTGAAAACAAATGTTGTGTATGTTCCCTTTCTGGCTCTTTTGGGCCTCCCATGGAGGCACTGATGTCACTTTTCCATGTATCTTATTTACGCCTTTTCTTTCTGTTGCTCCAGAATTCCCACAACGTATTCAGCAGTACTTTCCTGATGCTGGCAGCGCAGTAAGCAGCAACTTGGCAGGAAAATTCTTTTTCTACCCGGGACCTACCACTGTGCTTTCCTTGCCTCGTATTCCAGAGCAGAATTTCTCCAGCATCGATTCCCTCTCAGAGCAACCCATCCACACTTGATCCCTGGGTTACTAAAAAAAAAAAAAAAAAACAACCACAAAAAAACCTAAAATTTATTTTTATTTTCCTCGTATTCCAGAGCAGAATTTCTCCAGCATCGATTCCCTCTCAGAGCAACCCATCCACACTTGATCCCTGGGTTACTGAAAAAAAAAACCACCCCACAAAAAACCTAAAATTTATTTTTATTTTTATTTAAATTACAATTTATTCTTTGAATTTAGCTTTTTCTGAAATTGAACATCCTCAAAAGGAGATTGATACCTCCAGTGGGCTTGACCTTACTGCTTTATGTTTATCCATCAGCTCTCCACTCCCTGCAACCCCCAGCTGCCTTCTGTCCCACTGTCAGGAAAAAAAAAAAGTAAATTTTAAGAAAGAAGGAAGCCATTTCCTGGCAACAACTTAGTCTTAACAAAAGACTTCTCTTGGGAATGCCGGTTTGCAATCTTCCCTTTCCTGGATCCTCCCCACTTGATGTGCAGGTGTTGGAAGAGTGAAGGGACAAGACTGCCAATGCTAAGGTCTAGCAGGGGTTTGTAGGCTGCCTAGACACTTCTGAATGAAGAGAAGTCGCTGAGTGACAGTGTCAGAGGCCCCTCGGGGATCCCCCGGGCTCGGGGCTCAGGGGCAGCAGCCGCAGCAGAACCAGCAGCGCTCCTGCCGCAGGCGGGCTCGGCTCCCGGGCCGGGCAGGGACCTGGGCCGGGCCGGCTGGGCTCCGCACGCTGAGGGTGCGGGAGCAGGCAGCGCCATCCGCTCGGGGAGGGCACTGAGGCGCGGCAGCGGCTCCCGAGAAGGGCAGTGGGGCTGGGGAAGGGTGTGGAGCAAAGCGAAGAGCGTCTGAGGGAGTGCAGGGCTGAGGGGATCGCTGAGCCCGGAGAGAAGGCGGCTCGGGGGGAACCCCATCGCTCCCCGCGGCGCCCTGACAGGAGGGTGGAGCCAGGTGGGGGTCGGCCTCACCTCCCAGGTAATTTAGCGGCAGGACAGCAGGACAAAGCCTCAAGCTGTGCCAGGGAATTTCTTCTCAGAAAGTGACTGGGCATTGGAATGGGCTGCCCTGGAAGGTGGAGGAGTCACCGTCCCTGGGGTGCGTAAGGAAAGGCTGCACATGGCACTGGGTGCCCCGGCCCGGTTGACAGGGTGGTGTTCGGCCGGAGGTTGGACTCGGGATGACGCCGGGGTCATTTCCAGCCGCGCGTCCCACCCGCGCCCCGCCCCGCCGGGCTGTGGGGAATAGCGGAGAAGGGAGCGGGTCACGCGCCCGGCGCACCCGCGGCGCCCAATAGGGAGCGAGGCGCCGCCCACGTGACGGAGCGCGCGCGAACGGTCAAGAGGGAGGGGGGCTCCCCCCTCTCCCATCCCCGGCTCCGCGCGCCCGCGTCCCTCCGGCGAGTCACGTGATGCGGCGCAACTCTGCCTCCCCCGCCCCCCGCCCGCCCGGGTNACCGGGTGAGCCGCGCCCGCCCCGCGCCGAGCCGCGCCGAGCTGTGCTGTGCTGTGCCGGTGGGGCGCTGAGGGCACCGGGCTGCGCGGGGCTGCGCGGGTAGCGGTGCCGTGCCGTGCCGTGCCGAGCGGGAGAGCGAGGAGAGGCGGGAGGGCGGTGGGAGGGAGGGAGAAGGGTCCTTGTCGCCGCAGCAGGGCTGGGGTGGGACCCTCACCCGCGCTCTGTCTCGCCGGCAGCCGCTTTCCCCCACAGCCCTCTGGAAGGCTCCTGCTGCATGTCCTTAACGCTGTGTGTTCTTACTGATTTTTTGGTTTTTTCTTTTTTTTTTTATTTTTTTTTTATTTTCCTGGTTCGTGGTGGTGCGGTTTATCCTTCCCTTTTGTCGCCGGCTTCCTGGAGCCCGGCTGAGGTACCCGGCTTGTTGGGGAAAAAAAAGAAAAAAAAAACCAAAACAAACCGGTGCTGGAAAAACTCAGCGCTTTTTGTTATTCCTCGCCCGGGTTTCTGTGAACGTGTACAGCGTTTGTTCGGGTTTTTAACGCGCTTCTTCTAAACTGAAGGGTTTTTTGTTTTGTTTTGTTTTTAAAGGAACTTGCAGAGTTCCAGTTTAGAAAACTCTTGTAAATTAACGCTGAAGGAATATTTACCTGTTTTATAAGGAACTCGCAGGGTTCTGATTTATAAAGTTCAAGTGACCCGTTTGTGCTGTCCTCTACTGACGGAAGGTAAAAGGGCTTTAATCGTTCCGACAAGGGGTGGGATTAAGAAAAAACGATGTAAAGCATCATAAATGGAAACGTGCTTGGAGCATAGAGTATTTTAGGAAAAACTTTAGAAGCTGTTTGGAAGATGCATTCATTCTTTAGTGCCTTAATGTGAATGTTTCCCCTTGAACGCTTATCTCTCTATGCGTCAGATTGAAAGACCGGCATTGCTTTAGAAGATGTCCTCAGTGAATGGATTTGATAAGTTGCACTAGTGGCTCAGTGTAGGGGAAAAAAAAAGAAAATAAGGCAAAGTGTGGTTGTGATTACAGTTTTGTAATTGGGGGTTTGTTACGGTGGGTGGATGACTGTCATCCTCATACGGTGGTTTCCTGTGGCTGAACCAGTCATGTTCAGCAGCGTTCACATGCATGCTCGTCGTGCTTTTTGCTTGCTTATCTCTCTCTCAGCTGGATGCTCAAAACAAACAGGAGGTCTGGTTCTCAGCCTTCGGATCAGCAGTTCTTTCCTCCCCTGTGTGGCTCATTAAAGGCACCTGAAAATAAATTGTGTAGAGGTTTGGAGCACGTGAGTTTTGCCATAGAAATTTTGCTTCCTGTAAGGTCCAAGGAAAGTAAGTTAAGGCACGTGTTTTCAGGGAGTGCAAGTCTCTTCATGGGCAGGGAGAATGCCTCAGTACCATCCCTTGGTTCATACATCTACTTAACATCCATAGTATTGTTAATATAATGATAGTATATGGTTTCTGTATTCCTTCTCAGTGCCAAAATATGTAATCAAAAAGAAGCAAATGTAGACTGGGGGAAGATCGGTGTGGCGTGAAGGGTTTGATTCTTCCTTGGTTAAGGAATACTTCAAATTAAAAAGGGATTAAGTGTGCCAGTCACTCTGTGTTGTTCTAAAGCCAGATATCTGAGCTTTTGTGTTCTCACTGCTGTTCATAATTCCCAAAGACAATTAGGAGAAATGAAGGCCTGAGCCTGCAGTTTTTCTGTGCAGGACTAGGTCTGCCTAGCTGGAATAAGCTGCAGCATTGGAGCCGAAGGAGTGAGTGAAACAAACAAACGTGCGATTGTGTTCCAACAGCCTTTGCAAATAAGGGGATAATCTTTGAGGAGTTAACTGTAGTTTTTTTTGTCCCAAGGACAATTGGTACTGTTTTCCCGGTAGGATGTTGTGTTAGGCTATTGTTCTATCCAGCGTGGATTTATTTAGCTGAACTATAAACTCTGTAGAACAGTATCTGAAATAATTTTAACAAAGCATTTTGTAAACGATGCCTTTTTTTTTTTAAGGCAGGAATTCGTGTTTGTCTTTCATGTGCCATCGTGAATCGGCTTGCAGGTTTTTTATTTAGTAAGCAAATTACCGAGGAGATGCATATGTAGGCAGCAGATTAACACAGAATTTTTGAGAGGCCTATGGCTCCAAAAGTGTGTGGCTTTTTTAAATTGTGAGCAGATGTAGATGTTTTTCCCCTAATGCTGGTGCCTACCCCGAGGTCAATTTCTTTTTCATCACAATATGTGGCCAGCTCAGTTTCCTTTCCTTTACAAGTCGCCTTTTCGTGCTTATTTTTAGCCTAAGTGAAATCCAAAGAGTGATTCTGTTTCTGTTTGGATACTGAGGTTGTTGGATCATTTTGGAGATGTCAGAGCCGGGAGAAGGAGTATTGGTGTAAACTCCCTCTGCTGGTTCATTTTGCAGCAGAAGTAAAGCTTTGTGTTGTATAATTGTTTATCTCTGCATCCTGCAGCAGAAGTTAACAGTTGAGAGGTGGCATGCAGTGTTTCTAAAAGCAATTGGGCAACCAGTTTAAGCTCAGGGGTTTCATACTCATAAGGTTTTTAATTGCAATTAACTTAAGATCTGACTGTTCCTATATGACAGATACTCCTCAGAGCTGCTGCTGCTGCCTTGTTGCACACAGAATCTGAGCAAAAGCCTGAAGCTAATATACTGAGAGAGCTGTTAGCATGCAGATTGAAATACCTTGACTGCTTAGGGCTCCATGTGCTACACTGGCTCTTACAAACACCTCAGCTGAGGTGCAGCCCTTGCACAGTGTGTGATGTAGCAGGGTCCTGCCAAGAAAAGTAAATAACCTTAGGTGTGGGACTGACACTCTGCAGGAAGGGTGAGTGAAGGACGCTGGGTGGTTTCTTTGTGCTGCTGCTTGCGGTGCCATGTCTGGAGTCTCCTGGATCATCAGCCTTTAATGGCCAGAAGAAACCTCCCCACGTGCCTGTCCCCTAGGTGTGGGACTGACACTCTGCAGGAAGGGTGAGTGAAGGACGCTGGGTGGTTTCTTTGTGCTGCTGCTTGCGGTGCCATGTCTGGAGTCTCCTGGATCATCAGCCTTTCATGGCAAGGATTTGCCCAGAAGAAACCTCCCCACATGCCTGTCCCGCCCAGATTCAGGCAAATGTTGCACAGGGATGAAGCGTGAGTGTGGTTGGTGTGAGGGGTCACAGAGCCAGGGTATCACAGAGCATCTGCTCTTTTGGAAAGTGTGCAGTATGTCTTACAGGATGCTGGAATCTATTTGGTTTCAGTTCTGATAACACTGAGTAACTTTACTGATTTCTCCATTTACACTCCTACACTTAAAAATAGATTTCTCAAATACATTTTTCCTCACCTGTATATTTTTTTTCCCTTCCTGTAACTGCCAGAACTTTTATTAGACAGCTAGGAAATTGGCTGGGGTTGTTAAGGAATCTGTTTTTAGAGAGAAAAAGGTGGTGCTTCTACCTAGTTGGAGCATTTTTTTTCCTGTGGACAATGAAGAATAAATAGTTAAATTAGGAAATTGGCTGGGGTTGTTAAGGAATCTGTTTTTAGAGAGAAAAAGGTTGTGCTTCTACCTAGGTGGAGCGTTTTTTTCTGTGGACAATGAAGAATAAATAGTTAAATCAGCTTTCTGTGCACAATTACAGTTAAGAAACAGTAGTCGGTGTATAAGGCCCAGAACTTTGAGGTTTGTATGTAATTTCTCTGTCTTAGACAAAAGGATAAAGGAAAACAGCTGCTGTTGCTGCCACAGAAATGTTGAAAGGCAGTGATGATAGGTACTCCAGCAAACAGCAGAATCTAAGGACAGTAGTTAATATTTCAGGAGTAGGGAAAAGTGCATCTTCGAGGAGAAAGAGTACATATTACATAAAAGACAAGAGAGCGTTTTTTGTTGTTTGGTTGGTTTAAGGATTTTTGTGAACCTTTGTTGATTGCTAAATCCTGGATAGAGTTTAGGATTGAGATTTATTAAAGGAACAAACTTGCCAGTTGCAGATGAGTTGTCCTTAAGAACAACTTAACAATTTTGAGGAAAACTCCTGAAATAACTGTAGAATTGTAGTAACAGTTGAAATGGCTGGAAATATACAGCGTGGTTTTGGGTGAAGCAGTGTTAACACCTGTTAACAATTGTAAGGATCTTCACTTGTGCATGGAGTTAATTGCCCGTATCTCCAATTTGGGAAGTCTCATGTGCTTCAAAGCTTTTATTTATCGGTATTAGTTTGACAAGATGTCAGGTTGAGGTGTGGGAAGTGCAGCATAACTTGCAGAAGTTTTGGAAGTGCTTGGAAAGGTTTTGTCAAAGAGCAGTGATTAACTGAGTCATACAGAGCAAAAGAGAAAGAAGTCAAAAGGATTAGAGACCTAGTGCACAGATCAGGAGGGGAGAGAAAAGGCACCATATTACACTTATTACTTTTAGAGTAGAATAGGATCTCTGGGTGCTGTAAAACTTGTCAGTTGGCTAGGATATTCTCTAGCAAAACAACATGTTGTCTTCCTGTCTTCACACATTATGTTGAAAATTACTTCAGTAAAGAAAATAGTTTTCTTAAAATCCAGGTTGACACGTTTGTGCTTTGGCAGTTGTGTATTATATGTGGCAAGTTAAATAGGTGAAGTCAGAAGGGACACTTCCTTGGTTTTCTCAAAAGACAAGTAATTGCTGCCTTGTTTTAATTGATTGATAGTGTCATATGTTAAAAGACTTGCCAAGGTGAGGTGACAAATCTTAGCAGCTGACTAGCCCATGCTTGTAACTGGACTATAGAAATTAAGAAGGCTTGAATGCATCCAAACCTGTTTAGCTGTGTAGAATGTGCTATGCCTTGGCATCAGGTAGACTTCTAAAAGAAAAAAAAAAAGCTATTCTACAAATAAATCTACCATGCATTTGCCATCTGGAGATTTCAGGTGTTTTCAAGACCTGCTTCAAATGTGAAATGGAGAGTTGAGTCAGGCTCTAGTAAGAGAGGTGCCTGTAGAGCAGAACTGGGTTTATTGGATCAAAGTTATGACATCTGCTAAAGAAGCAACCTTGCCTGGGTTTTGTGTTAGGGATTTTTTTTTTAATGGACATAATTCCACAGTGACCTCTGTGTTTCTCAAACTTCATTTTTGAAATTGTTATTATTGCCACTTTTTAAAAACTCCCTTCTTCCAAGAAACATCTGCACTGAATAACAGTTGACTGGTGTTGTTAAACGGCTTTCTGAAGCCCAGTCTTGGTTCTCAGCACAGTTTTGACAACCAAGCATCAGAAGAATAATGGAGAGGCTGTCTTGTGTTCTCACTGTTATCCATGTCTGGTACTCAGGCATCATCAAGAGGTAGCCTGACTTGAAAGCAGCAGAACAAAAAACAGGGGGATTGGGTTGCACTGAAGCAAACAAATGAAAAGGAAAGAATTAAGTGTTAATGAGAGGATGGCATCTGGGTAGAGACTGCAATTCTTACCCATGGAAGGATTCCCTGCCTTTTTGGTTTTTACTGCTTTATGGTGATTTGTCATGTCACTGACATTCTGTGCAATTCTTCACCTAATGCTCTCCACATTTCACAAAACTTGCTGATAGCCCTGGGCAGGGATCATAGATTGTAAGTGGCAGAGTCCCTTCAGGGTGTGAGCAATGTTATGTGCAGGGTTGAATGCCTCAATAAGCTCTGGATGTTTGTGCTGTCAGCTTTGCTTCTGAGCTGCTGCAGTCATCCTGAGAAACTGGGAAGAGGGAGGAGAAGAACGTTGTATGCATTTGTGTTCATTGGCAAACACCTCTGTACCATCATGTTTCCAGCTGTTAATGTGATCCACCTTGTTTCTAAGTAACAGATTGAGGCAATTTTACTTAATTGCTGTTCTCTGATGTGTTTCACTGCCTAATTGCACAAGCTCATGCTTTCCGGCTCTCACAAATATTTTTTGACCATAGCAGCTTTTGATTACACAAGAGGTGGCAGATTTGGGTCATGTTCACAACAGCTCTAGCCTTACTTTTATTTGTGTGTTTCACACAACTGCTTGCTTACATGGCATTTGTAACTTGTAAGATTACAAAAAAATTCACAAGTGAAAATTTTGTAAATTGGAATTGCAGCTGGAATCCCCTTTGTAAATTCCCTCAGAATTCCACTCTGCCACCAGTGGATATTTGCTAGATCACGAATTTTTAATGAGTTTGCTTGTCAAAGAGCAGATGTTTAGCTGTATTGAATGTAGTTTACTTAAATGGTCTGTTAAGAAAACAGTCTGTTTTTCCAGTGACTAGCTTTTTGTTCGCCTAAACAGATGGAAATATAATTACATATTTCATACAGAATAGAAGGTTTACTTCCAGAGCTACGTGTCTTTTCTCCACGTAAAGGAATTTACCTTACTGTCTGTTAATGAAAGCGCAAAATACCCTTTTTAATAAGCTTTTTGGTTTGTTTTTTTTTTGTTGCAGCAATGTCCCCTTGCTCGTAGAGGCGTCATGATACACAGCAGCATCATGGTGGACGTAGGCAAGTGGCCGATATTCACCCTCCTGTCCCCCCAAGAAATCGCTTCCATTCGCAAAGCGTGCGTGTTTGGGACCTCGGCCAACGAAGCCATTTACATCACGCACAACGACGAGGTGAGCTGCCAGCCAGCTGGGCACTTAGCTGGTTTCAGAATGCTTGCAGGTTAATAGCTTCTCAAAAGCATTAGGTGAAATCTGGGTTTTCTGCAATATGCTGGGTACAACATTTGGTTGTTTTTTTTTTTTTCAAGTTTTGTGTGGGGACAACATAAATGGACTATTTAGCAAAATTTCACATGGCAAAGGCAAAGGATGGATTACATGCACTGTTGAAGACAGACAGAATTTAAAAGAAGGTGTGGTAGCTTGGAGTTAAGTACAAACAGGTATGAAGATAGAAAATGAGGTTATGGCTTGCTAAGTAAAAAATACCGTGAAAGATTATCTGTAGATTTTAATGATTCAGAAACTCATTATGATTTAGCATAGTGCTGCTGAAAGAAAATGAGACAGGTGTTCTGGGAAGTATTAATGGGAAGGTTTCTTTTAAGACTGGGTAGAAAAGGACTTTTTTTTCCCCTAAGTCCTATCAATAGTGCCTGTAGATGAGCCTCTCTCAGTATACTCTTTATATGCTAATGCTTTATTTGCTATTTACAAACTGCTTGTAGAAGAAGGTGGTGTCTTCCACTTTCTTTCCACTTTTTATGGTGCAGTTCCTGAAAATAAAAAGCCTAACTTCCAGGACTGCACGAATCTGAATAATTCAGACTCATCAGTTAATATCCAAAGTGCTATGGTTCAAACTCTTGAGGTTGTTAATTTCCATGCTGGATGTCTCTGGCTTCTGGAGGTCCAAGGTGAAACTCCGTCCCCAGTTAATGAAGACCTGAGTATTACACATCTGTGCACACCTGAGTATAAAACATTTGAAGTGAGTATTCTTTTGTTTTTCAGGTATTTGTTTTTGGACTGAATTGCAGTAATTGTTTGGGAACTGGAGATAATCAGAGCACAATAGTACCAAAGAAATTGGAAGCCTTATGTGGAAAGAAGATCTCCAGTCTCAGTTATGGAAGTGGACCCCATGTTGTTATTTGTACTGAAGGTAGAAAATCAACATTTGGTATAAAAACATAAGTCAGAGATTACATTTAACAGGACTGGATTATAGTGTAATTGTATTAACTTGTTAACTGGCTAACGTACACTAAAAGGTTCTCATTGGTCTTAAGTGGAAGTAAATGGATTTTGTAATTGCTGAAGTTTCCATTTCCACTATGTTGAGGTTTTAGCACTTTATGCTGTCACTTATGATGTAGTTTGTCTTACCTGTGCACTTCCACATATTTCCACAATCTAGAGGAGATGCTGTGATATATAAATATAAAACAAAGTATATAATTTTCTAGCATACAGATGATTCTTGTAATAGTTTCACTTTTTGTTAGTATCCTTTCAATTTCCTGTTGTTATTTGCTAATTTCTTAAAATTCTCTCTTAACCTCCCTGGAATTATTAGTGGTTTTCATTACAAATATTTTTGCAGATGGTGAAGTGTATGCTTGGGGACATAATGGTTACAGCCAACTTGGAAATGGCACAACCAATCAGGGCATTACTCCTGTTCAAGTTTGCACAAATCTGTTAATAAAGAAAGTGGTGGAAGTAGCCTGTGGCTCTCATCATTCCATGGCGCTCTCATTGGATGGGGATGTAAGTTGAAACCTGTTCAAAGCTCTTAATCTCCTTGTTGAAGTGACTAGTGGAGGTGACCTTGCAGTTTGAACTTCTGTCTGTTTCTATAGTGTAATTACAAATACAACCTTTTCTCTTGCTGCCTCAAAATGGGGGGTCCTTTTCTTCAGAGCAGACTTGAAAACCTCTCACAGGGGTGAGACTACAAAGACATGCCACTTAGAGGTGAAATAATGGTTTGTGAGGTGCAAAATGTAATTTATTTGCTTGTAGATCAGTCAGTTTGCAAGTGTGTTGAATTTGTATTTACTGGGTTAGAATTTAGTTGTTTTCCTGTATAAATGTCTTGTATTTCCACACTGGTACTGCAGAAGAATGTTGCTCTGCACACCTCTGAATACCTTGGTGTGTAGCTAATGAAAGAGCACTTGGTTTATATCCAAGTCTGCTTTGTGCTGTTTGTTTACGTGCCTTCAGGCTACGTGTCATGGGAAACACATACAATTAGTTTCCAGTTATGCAGATTTGACCAATGTATGCACAGTGGAAAATCTGGTTTCAGCTGTGCACTAACAAAAGAAAAGCTCTAATTTTAAAACCTTTTAACAATGAAAAGGGAAACTAGAGCTCTTCTCATCCTGGTAATCTGAGTATGTTTGTGTTGTTGTCCAGTATGGAATAATAGTGCAACAGAATACCAAGTATTTTAAGGGTAGGAAAGAGAGATTGGGTTAAGTGGTCTGTGTTTTATCTGAAAGAAGAGCCTACACTTAGGAAAGATTTTGTGCTGTCATGTTTGACTTGGTTAAACTACAAAACTTGGTGAGCATGCAGGAAGGAGAGGGCATTCATGCATTACTTACACTAGAGGTGCCAGCTGCTGTGTGGTGGCTGCCTGTGAAGGCCATGCTGTTCCTTGTCATAAATGTGACATGCTTGAAATCTCAGTGGAAGCAGGGAAATTTCTTTGTGTTGACCATGGAGTTGGTATTTGCAGCTGGCTCACCAGTGTGGCACATTTAATGTACTTTAAATCCATCCCTGGTGTACCTTGCAGTAACTTGGCCTGTTTGTGCTCTGAGCTTTTACCAGAACTGAGTGCACTGAAAGCAGCAAAATGTGTTAAGCAGCTTTACAGAAAGATTTGAATTCCAGCCCCCTTGTGTCCTAATAAACCTGAAGCCTTGGGGAGACATTGAAGTTGGAAGTATTTGTGGAAATACCTGGCATAATTGGTTGGTATGGTTCAGTGCAAATTTTAAAAAGTATTTTAATGCTAGAATTAAAGGAATACAGACATTCGTGCTTCTCTGGCATGTCCTTTGGCATTTTGATCTACCTGAGATTCTCTACCTAAATATTTGCTGTTATTGAAATGAAAGTATTTTATAAGGCATCTTCAAATATTCAGTAGGAATCAAAGATTCAGCCGTAACAAGTTAGAAGTAACAAAAGGCAAAGGACTGATTCTTTTGTTCATGTTATTAATTGTAAATGAGTTGTGTTGGTGGGGCATCTTTTGTTCTTGTCTTTGGTGGGTTGGGGATTTTTTTGGTGCTGATGGAGGTGTTAGTTTGGAATAACTTTTAATGGCTCTTGGTTTGTTGTTGCAGTAAACAGCTTCTGGCCCCAAAGGATGTGTAGGCTTCTCACGAGGGTACCTGTCAGTGTGCTTGTACTGCCAAGCATGTCTGTGGAAGGTGTTTCCAAGAGGCAAAACTTTTGAGCTGGATGCAGTAGGAATCAAAGATTCAGCCGTAACAAGTTAGAAGTAACAAAAGGCAAAGGACTGATTCTTTTGTTCATGTTATTCATTGTAAATGAGTTGTGTTGGTGGGGCATCTTTTGTTCTTGTCTTTGGTGGGTTGGGGATTTTTTTGGTGCTGATGTGTTGTTAGTTTTGAATAACTTTTAATGGCTCTTGGTTTGGTGTTGTAGTAAGCAACTGGCCCCAAAGGATGTGTAGGCTTCTCACGAGGGTACCTGTCAGTGTGCTTGTACTGCCAAGCATGTCTGTGGAAGGTGTTTCCAAGAGGCCAGACTTTTGAACTGGACAAAGCACCAGAGAATGAACCCTCAGAAACAGTTTTATGCCAAGCTGTGGGCATGTGTACATGTAATAAAAATTGGAGACACCAAAACCACAGAGTTATAACTCTTTTAAATACCAAACTACTTCCCTGTCTTCCTGACTTTCAGATAAAAGGAACTCATATTTTTGCTTGTATTAGTACTAGTTTGCCACAAGAAACTTCAAACTGACATAAATTGTAGATTTTTTTTTTGTTAATGCTACTGTGAAACACAAACTGACAACACCCTGCTCTTTCACAGCTCTTGAAAGATGCAAAAGATGTATGATGAGTGTCCAGCAGTAAACCTGATGTAGAGATCTTTGAAGAAAACTACATAGCTCTAAACTGGGGAGTTCAAGTGTGTCTGGGAAACAAATGAAGTTCTGGCTTGCATTCCTTTTTCAATATAATGAAATTATAAAGACAATCACTGTGCTCTTTGTCTTACAGTCTGACTTGTATTTAATACGGAACTATGTTCATTTTGTTTTCTCTTTTAGTGAGATGCTATCATTCTTTTGCAATCAGCTGGAAAAAGTGCTATATTCCTGTTTGCTAATTGGCTCCTAATGCTGTTTATAATTTTCTTCTATTGAAAATGAACTTTAAGCATTTTAGCATTTTAGTTTACCCAGTCTGGTGCTGCCTGTGGGAAGATTGCCTATTGCTATCATTACTATTATTAAGCTTTAAATGATGTGGCTTTGTTTGTTTGTTTTTATGGACAGCTGTATGCTTGGGGCTACAATAACTGTGGTCAAGTTGGATCTGGATCTACAGCCAACCAGCCAACTCCTCGCAGAGTCTCCAACTGCTTGCAGGGTAAAATTGTAGTTGGCATTGCTTGTGGCCAGACCTCCTCCATGGCTGTAGTAAACAATGGTGAGGTAAGTGCTGCTGCTGCATTTCCTCCTTCTCTGTCACCTGAATCTACCAAGCTGCTGTCTGAACATGGAGAAATGCTGACAGGCAGTGCTCTGGTTAGGGCTGTTATTGGCAGAGTTATCCTGGCAGCTTCTGTGAGCTAGCTGCAGGAAAACACTGCAAGTAACTGGAGATGCAGTCTTTCAATATTCCTTCTTATGGCAAAGACTGTATTGGAACACAATTCTTACTGAGTCTGCAACTGCAAGAATGTGAACAGTTGTATTAACCATGTCTGTCTTCATGTTGGAATAGACTACTTAACAGAAATTATGTTAAATTATTTTAATTCATTAAATTAGTCTCAGTTTATTTCTTTAACAGTTTAATTGTGCGTGCTTTAATTTTTCTGCAAGGATACCTTGGCTGATCCTGTTTTTTAAACACATTGCTTAATTACCAGCAACAAACCTAAAACATTCTTTTGAACATTGCCCTCTCATTGTGCAACTGTTGCATTTGACATAAGTTTATGGTGTTGTCTTGCCTTTAGGTATGAACTGTAACCTCAATTTTACTTCCTTTCACAAAGAGAGGGTAGTATCTCCTTGTGAATGGAAGGGCTGCAAAGTCCCTGCGGCTGATTTGGGTTTTCATTGTCCTTATGTATGTCATGGTGTGTCCACTGTAACAAAACTAAGGGAAGAATTAGAGAGAAACTGGGGATTTCCATTTAAACTGATTGGTTCATCAGAGTAACTAATTTATTGTTCTCGTTAAAAAAAAGGAAAATTAATAAGGAGGAAGGATGGCGTAGAAGTCAAAATGTTGGTGCTGTGGAGAAATCTGGGTGTAGTGTGAGTTTATTGCAAAGTTCCTAGTACTTCAAAGACATGTTTTTTAGCTTCTTTAAAAGGTAAATGCAGGATGGGGAAGTTGGGTGCAGTAAGTCATTGCAGTTTGTTTAATATCTTTCAGCCTTCTCTGTATTGCTCTTAAATAGCACAGGATTTTTTTAATAATAAGTACTTTTCTTGGCTTGTGCTCAGTACTAAGTCTTACATGCTCTATACTCCTGGTGAAGAGTGGCTTAATTTTGTTTTCTGGTGCCCTCAGGTTTATGGCTGGGGTTACAATGGCAATGGCCAGCTGGGCCTGGGGAACAACGGGAACCAGCTGACGCCGTGCAGAGTGGCGGCGCTGCACAGCGTCTGCGTGCTCCAGGTACGCCCCGCGTGGGACAGGGACAGGGAGTGCATTCCTGCTGCTAGCTTCTGCTGGAAACCTCTCTTTGGAGTATTACACCTGCTTCTGGATTTCACTAGTTCCAATGCTGAATTTCTTTTTTTGGCTACAATGAATTATATTTTGCTTATACAACATGCAAGTAAGCTGTGAAATACTCGCTTTGGTATAAAGTTAGCTACTGTAACTACTAGCAAATTTTGCTGTGGATACAATTACATTATTGTTACAATTGTGCTAGTCAAAGACAAGAAATGAAGGAGGATCAGATGTTCAAATTTGTTCTAAGTATTCTAATTCTAGTGTTCTAATTAGTCTTTTAGAAGCAAGGGGAGAGGAAAGATGAGACATGGAGGTGGGTTTGATTGTTTGGTGATTGGATTTTGGTTGAGTTTTTTTTTTTCCTAGCTAGAGAATCAAACTGAGACATGGGGGTGGGTTTGATTGTTTGGTGATTGGATTTTGGTTGAGGGGTTTTTTTTTTCTAGCTAGAGAATCAAACTAGAATTTGGGGTTTCCTGGGTTTTTGGGAAGGTTCTGTAGAATTGAATGTGGTAAGTTGGGTTGAAGGGTTGTTGGCTGTTGAACTGCAGCTGTCCTCATTACAGAGTACTCATACTGTACAGTATTCAGAACAATTCTGTTGCGGTGGATGCTCCAAGTGTGGGGACACGAGGCTTGACTCCATTTTTCTCAGAAGGCTGATTTATTATGTTAAATATTATATTAAAGTGCTACATTAAAACTATACTAAAAGAATAGAGAGAGAAGAAAGATCAGAAGGCTGCTAAGATTAAGAATAGAATGCATAACAAAAATCTTGTGTCTGCTCACAGGTACAGGTGGCTGTGATTGGTCACTGATTGAAAATAATCCACATGAACCAATGGAAGATGCATCTGTGGCATTCCACAGCAGCAGACAGTTATTGTTTGCATTTCTTTCCTGAAGCCCTCAGCTCTCAGGAGGAGAAAAATCCTAACAGAGGATTTTTCCTAGAATATCATAGCTACACAATTCATCTCTGAAATACTTTCAGAGCATTGCAAGATGTGATGAAGTTCCGTGTTCCTCATGTGAAAAGGAAGCAGGTAGCATCTAGGGAGACTTGTCTTGTGTGCACTAAGTTACTTGGGAGCAGCCAGTGAAATTAATGAAGCTGGGACTTTTGCAGTACCTACAGCCAACATACCTTGTGTTAGCTTCAAGTACTGAGAAGCATCACATCACAAACCATGACCGTGCAGAATGCCTGAGATGCTTACAGTGAGCTAGCCGAAGGTAATGTGTGCGATATTTTGTTTCTCATCTGTGTTTGGTTCAGGAGTAACGCTGTATACATTTACTTACAGATTGCCTGTGGCTATGCACACACTCTAGCACTAACAGATGAGGGCTTGCTCTATGCCTGGGGAGCTAACACTTACGGGCAGTTGGGGACTGGCAATAAAAGTAACCAGCTCAGCCCTGTGCAGATCATGATGGAAAAAGAAAGGTAATCTTGCTCAAGCTGTTTCTGGATTGATAAAGTCTGAGCATGTGTTATGCAGTCTCTAGCACTGGAAGCATGCATGTGTAGGGCTTGGTGAATTGTTTTTCTGTTGCTAATGTTAAAAATATGGGAAAGGATGGTAACTTACTGTTTACAAAGCACTGAGTCTGTAATGGTTATTGAACACAAACACACTTGGCATTTATCTGATACTGAAAGATAATGAATGAATAAGTGTTATGCTATTCTCTATATATTCTGTATATCCTTTGCTTAAAACTGGAGCTGTGAAGTCAATAAGCCAAGCCATGAATTGAGGCCTGCATTAAAAAAATGAAAAAGTGGGAAGAAAGGAAACACCACCTTTGCAAGAAGTGACGTGTGAAGAAGAAGAATTTTTGAAAGATTTAAAATAGCCCACCATGAAAACAGAACTCAATTTGCAAGGTTGCTTGAGCTAGGGACAGCTAATACTCATTTTTATTACCCATACCAGTTAGTAGTTTGTAGTTTTTTTAGTTTCCTGGACTCATAAAAGAATGAAATTAACCTTTGTCAATTCTTTTTCATCACCCTTTCTTCATCCTCATATTTGGAGCTGGCTCTTTTGCTGCTCCCCTACAAATGTGGGCCTCAGTCTCATTCTCATATTAATGTCAATTCTTTTTCATCACCCTTTCTTCATCCTCATATTTGGAGCTGGCTCTTTTGCTGCTCCCCTACAGTCTCATTCTCATGTATACCTACACATTAATGTACCTTGTCTTGGTCTATAGATTCTTAATTTGCAATCTCCTTTTAACTAGGAAACACTTTGGCTTTGCTTTCCTCCTCCATTTGGGAGGTCATTCGTATTTTTGGTTGTTTCTCTCACTTAGCATTAAATTAAAAGCTTCACAGTACTGAGAATGTTTAAGAGCTTAAAAATGGGGGGTGGGGAAAGAAGAAAGGAACTATCACAATAAAAACCACTGAAATGGGGCTGGTTTGTCAGTGAAGGAACTGACACTAGTGAAGGAAAATGAAATATTCTTTAAAAAGCAGTGAAAGAAATGTGTACATTTGCAGATAAATCAACTTTGTTTTGTTAGTGATTTATTTCATGAGTACACTAAGGAGAACTATTGCATTTAGAACTGTGTGTGAACTCAAGCATGGGGTTATAATAAAACTGGCATTTGTTCAGTGGATGAAGGAGGGGGAAAATACCACAGAACTTCTGCTTGGGATCTAAGGGAGAGATAAGTCACTTGAACTTACTCATCTTGCTTGACTTGGCTCCCTTGGAAACAGTGCTAAAAGTGGGTGAGCTGTCATTTCCCATGAAACACATTACTGCTGCTCCTGATCTTTTAGTTTATGCAATTCTTTTGTCATTTCTATTTAATGCTGGCAGCAGTTACTTAGGAGGTTTAATTTGGTGCTGTCTTGGAAAATATTGCACATACAGATGTAAAGAATGTTTAGATTTCATTTTGTGTTAGCTCAGAGGAACAGCTGTGGAGGTCATCTTCCTGAATTTTGCTGTTCAGTGCATGTTTAATGTGTTACCCTGTACATGTACTGTAAGTATGTGTATGTGTATCATAGGTGTGCAGCAGTACATGTTCTGCTGTACTGCTGAAGTGTAGTATAGTCTGTAAAAAGAAGAATCTGTTCTGCTAAGAAAAAGTTTGGCAAGGGAAGTAGTTTAGCTTGATAGTTGTGATAAAAAGTAAGTTGTCCCTAAAATAAGTACTCTATGATGTGTCTTGCAGAGATGTTGCATAAAGGTTCATAAGTTGATAGTAGTGTAAAACAACCAATCAGTTTTCTTTCTGCTGGAAATTGATATGTATACTGAAAGTGATGTAGTTCTTTGAGTTTTGTCTTGAAATAATTTTTGCACTTAAAATATGAATGTTGTGCTAAAACTTTTTTTTTGCCTAAAAATCTATCTCTTCATGGGCATTGTTCTGTAAAGGAACACACATTTTTGTGTGTGTATTCTTAGGTTGCTTGGAAAGATAATTGTTTGTCCTGGTTGATGCATTTCTGGCACAAAAGCATGAAATCCTCTGATGTGTTTTTACCACTGAGGAAAAACAGGAAAGCATAGTTTTTATTTTGAACATGGGAGCCCTCCCTGTTTTGCTTATCACATGCACAGAAACTCTGGCAATGTCCTTGTGGTGTTTTAATTGGAATTGTGTTCCTTCTCAGTTCTTGCCATGTTTCAGATAAGAATCTAGGGAGAACAGGATAGATAAGTGAGCATCAGCAGCTTTAGTATTTGAAACTGTGTGAGGTGGGTGAATGGACTATGTAGACTTTGTTTAAAAACAACCATAGCTCTTAAAGGATTCATTCCCCTCAAATGAAGCACTGTGTTTCATGTTGAATTTCAGTGTTGAGGAAAGTAAGCTTAACAGCAAAATAAGAAATCTGAAGTACAGGCAGTGGGTCAGGTCTCTGTCAGCCTACAAAAATCAAAAGGGAGGTAGAAGAAATTTCTAGAATAAGTTTCTCATGTATGTTGGTTTTAAAGGGGAAAAACAAAACTTGTTTTTTCTTCATCCCCTTTTCCATGGTTATGAAAAAATAGGAGGAAAGTCAGTTGATAAGAATGACATAGTTAAAGCAATATCTGGTTACAATAAAATCAAATCTACAAGCAGTCTGAAAATTTCATTGTGGGATTTTTATTTTTTTTTTAATACCCGTTCAAGCAGTATCCCATTTCTGCAGGACAAAACCCCAAGTGCAGGAATGTTGCCGCATAGTTTGACTGGCTGTTGTTTCGGTGGGGCTGTGGGAAGTCCCTGCGTTCCTAGCTCACGGTGCTTCTGGTGCCCGCAGGGTTGTGGAGATCGCCGCCTGCCACTCGGCGCACACGTCGGCGGCCAAGACGCAGAGCGGCCAGGTGTACATGTGGGGCCAGTGCCGGGGGCAGTCCGTGACCTTCCCCCACCTCACACACTTCGCCTGCACCGACGACGTGTTCGCCTGCTTCGCCACCCCCGCTGTCATGTGGCGCCTGCTCTCCGTCGGTGAGCTCCGGTCCCTGCAGTCCCTGCGTCCCTTCCTGATTGGTACAGCGTGCTGCTTCCCGGGCAAGCTTCCCTCCAGGTTCAAGCAGGGAAGCTTGGCAACTCAGTGGCTAGTTGTTTCTTCCTTCTGAAGGAAACAGTCTGTTTCAGCAGCTGGGGATGCAGGGTAAAGGGAACAAGATTGTTGGCCAGTGTACATCCAAAGCAAGCCCTGTCTTACCATTCCACGGTGAATTTTGTGTATTTCTTACGTTTGGTTGTTTGACCTCCAGTTCAGGTCCAGGAAGGAATCCTGAGTCATTTAACAAAACTTCGGGGGTTTTTTTCCTCTTATAACTATTCCTGCTTGGAAGACTACTCCTGAGGCTTGTTGTTTTGGTATCTAACAATTTTGGACTTTAAGTGTCATCTGTAGCTTTCCTCTCATTAGTATTTGCCCTTCTAGGAGTGCATCTCTCCCTTATGTTTTCTGGTTTTGAAAGTAACAATTTTCATATAACAGAGTAAGAGAGTTTTCATTTCATGAGATGATTTGTCTCTTTTTAGTTTGAATTTCCTTGAAGATGGGTAGACTTGTAAGTAATGGTCTCTGTGAAACAAGACTCTTACATAATTGCTTTTTCTGTTGGAACTCTCTTCTTATACTGCCTTGGATTACTCTGTGGGACGCAGTCTCTGTGTCCAACAAATAATCTCAAACCTTTTTTCATGATTTTTCTTTGATCCACGTGCTGCTAATTCTTATTTGACCCAAATAGGATATAAAGGGCTTAGCTTGCACTTCCTGGAAAACATGAAGGTGTTTTCATGTTCCAAAAAATAAGGATGTTTTATCTTACATCTGCTGCCTTAGTTTTCAAGTTCTCTTAGGAGAACATCTAATCTATTTTCGTATTGACAACAGACCCTAATTTTGTTAGTCTCTGTATGGAATTACTTTTGGGGGTGATGGATAACATCCCAGTAACTTCTCTCCAGTTAAGTCTCTCAGACTTTACTGTTGCATTTGGCTTGTCCTAACCCAGCTTCTGTGTGACAACTTCTCATTTAGCACGTCACCACATTTGTAGAGGTCCAGGTAACAGCATCTCACCTGTAGGGGAGAACTGAGTAGAGTTACTAAAGAGAGAGAAGATTAACTTCGAGCAGTCTGCTCCTGAGTAAATCCAAGTCTGCTTTTATCCCATTTGTCACTTTCTCCATTCTCTAATCCTCTGCAATATGTGCTGGTCTTGCTCTCTCTTGCCTCCACACTTGTGGAGGTCTCATGGTTGTCCAGTCTGTTGCCTTTTGCTAATAGTGAGAGCTGTTTAAATGACATCTCTGCCTGGTTTCAAGTCCCTCATTTTTATGAGATATTCCCAGACTGAGTATAGCCAGCTGTCTGACCTCTATTACCTGCACTTTAATTCCTCTTAGCCTCTGGGGATTCTTCCCCACTTACTCTGGCAATCTTACTGAATATTTAAATTAAAAAAAAAAATTCTGTGGGAATTTTTAAATCTTCATTTTCCATATGCATGTATTCCTTTCCCACCTGTTTTAATCACATAGGAGTAAACCCTTCTTTTTTCTTTTGTTTGTTTGTTTGGGTTTTTTGGTGTTTTGTTTTCTTAGGGAGAGCTAACTCTGTGTAAAGGTTATTGTTCTACTTACAGTTACAATGTCCCTGCCAAAAAATGAATCAGCCACTCAGGATTGGCTGTGGTGAAATACAAATTTGCAGGACTGAAAGTATTTGGAGTGAAAGTTGATCTGCATAGCTTAAGCTAAGATCATGACCCAGCAAAATAAGATCACATGAGCAAATGGAGAGGGATTGGAGCATGGTTTAGTTAGGGCAGAGGAGATGCAGTTTCTGGGGGTGATTCATGTAAGTCAGAGGAGTGCAAGGTCTTCTGTGGCACAGGCATGGCTTGCCAGTTCTGAGTAGTATGTTCCAGCAATATTTCTTCTTAAATGCAAAGTAATTCAGTGTCCCTAATGGTGAAGAGTGGTGTGCAGATTGTGTATGGATGAGCACTATACAGTCCTGTGGGACACAGGAGACAGAGTGCATTCCATTTAGTAGAAATCCATTTGTTTCTCTTTTCCATGCTTCACTTTTTAGAAGTCATGTGCTTTGAAACACACTTCTAAGATGCATCAAAATAACGGGTTAAATTAGGTTTTCTAAAATTTCAGAGGCCTTGCTTTAGCAAAAGCCTCAAACAATGTGTGCTGCAACTCCTGTATGATTTCTAGAGACACACAGAGTGGGACCTCTGTGACACCAGTGCCACAGGCCTCAAAAGAGGAAACTGTGGTATCTCTGCTTTAATCCACTGTCAGAGTCGCTGAGGTTCTGTGTCCTTGGTTGTGCCTTCGGCAGCACTGCTGCTGGATTCTGTGTTGTTAAAGCTGACTCACAAACTGAGTAATTGGTGTCAGTGATAGCTCATGTTAATGAGCCCTGGCAAGGACCTCATCAGCCTGCAGGCTGTATCCAATCTGCCAGCACAGGAAGGTGACCATGTGGTGACCTGTTTTCTTTTCAGGCCCAGCCCACAGCGCGCTACCCTGTGTATCGTGCCTTTCTGGAGTACTTGTACACGGACAGCGTTGACCTCCCGCCTGAAGATGCAATAGGTACTGCTGATGGGTCAGAAAGCAGCATCCAGGAAAACTGGGGCAGGGCTTGCAGTATGAGTGACCAAATACAGGCTTCTAGTCGAGCCTATAATGTCTTTTACTGGTGATTAATTAAGCTGTCTTCAAAATGCTGTTGTAGGAGACTTAACTACAGCAAAAATGGTGTGTATTTAGAAGTAAACTATGAGCAGTTTGGTCAAGTTTGGGAGAGAAACTATTTCTCTGGGTGAAATTACTTGCATATTTCACTAAATGGAGTCAGTTACTGTTTGGCCTACTATCAAAGAAGCTCAGTAGATCTAATGAGGAGGAAACTTGGACAGCAGAGCCAGTACAGCAAGCTGTAATTCAAGCCCATTTCTTGATAGTAGTAGTTTTTTACTCCTGTTGTGGTGCCTGCCACTAGGTATGCAAGTCAGTAGGACAGCTTTCATATTTACAGAAATTAACAGGAGTGCAGAATGAGGTAATAAAAAGCCCTTCTTTGCCTTTAATCTGCATTTGCTGAATAGTAACCTTCTTGGGAAAAGCACATTATAGAGATACAGAGCTTTGCAGGAGCAGAAACAGATGTTGAAAGAGCAGAGATAATTTTACAACTGACTGATACAATGATGTTTCAATTGCAGGGCTTTTGGATTTGGCTACTTCATACTGTGAAAACAGACTGAAAAAACTGTGTCAGCACATTATCAAGAGAGGAATTACTGTGGAAAATGCATTTTCATTGCTCTCTGCTGCTGTCAGATATGATGCAGAGGTAAACTTCTAAAGTTCAATCTCTTAAATGGGTGGCTGCTTCCTGACTTAAACTACGGAGAAAAGCAGCTGGTTACATTTTCATATAAGCTCTCTTACTTTCATTTAATACTATTTGCCAATTTCAGAATTTGAGAATGTTGCACTTGCATCTCACGGCAAATATGGTTTTTGTATCTCATGTTTTTAGTTTTTCCCCATAAACCAGTACTGTGAAAGGTGAACTAGTACAGATATTATTGAGGATAGAAACACTAACTCTGAAGCAAGGGGAGGGTTTAAACAAAAGAAGTAACATAATGAAAAGCAGGCTTTTAAGCCTTAAGCTACTTATTTGTAGGGCTGTGTGTTGTGATGACATGGTGGTGGGTTGGGGATTGAGTGCATTTGGGACTTTTTTCTGGTTGATGGGGTGGGGTTTTTTGGCTTTTTTGTTTTGTTAGGTACAAATACACTTCAGTTTTCAGAGTATGCTAATGAAGTGTCAGGACAGGAACCACTTCAGGGGCCTTATAAAGACAGAGCAACAGTGTGTGAAGAGGGGAGTGAAACCTCCTCACTGTGGAATGTCTGATTTCACTACTAGATCCCTAACATGCTGCTTTAGGAACTAATCAGGAGGTGTTCCTGGGCTTGCTTTGGCTGTCTGTGTTCAGTAGTATCTGTGCATTCTGTTGGCAACTCTACAATTGGTTGGTTTTGAACTTGCTGCTTCTGTTTACAAAGCAGTTTTTTGGTACTCGGTAAATCAACTTATTGCTTTTTTTGTACTTAATTTCCAGCAGCTGGCATGCAGCTTGCCTTAACTTATTTCAGAGCCTTGAGGTGTGATGCTTGTTTGATAGACCTTACCCAAAGGCTGTGTAGTGTCTGTCATGGCTTCTGATCTACTGTGAATAGTGATGTCTTTGACAGAAGTTCATCAAAAATAGGAAGATTCCCATATTTTAGCCTCTAAAGATGGTTTGCAGGATGGGGCTTCAGTGTGTGATTCTGCTTGTAAGAAATCCAGTTACTCTGCCACACCTGTCCCTAGCTAGGTAGAGTTAGAACCATAGGCATCAATGCTGCTTCCAGGAGAGAATGGGAGGTGCTCCAGGAGAGGGGTTGGCCTTTAACAAAAAGTTGGGTTTACATGCTGCACTGCTGGCAGGGGGCTTGGAATTGCTTGGCTGATGCCCTTCATTCAGGGGGGTGTGTGCCTGGAAGAAACACTTAAAAGAAGCTGCTTCACTAATTTAAAGTACCTCCATGATGTGAAACTCCTGCAGTTTCTTTTGGTGACTGACTGAAGTGGCTAAAATTAGGTCAGGGCTTGCTTCTCATTGTAGCTTTTGAAGTAATACTTAGCTGTACCTTGTGCCTTTATTCACCTAAGTCTATATTAAGTTTGCTGAGAGCTCATCCATCTGCAAATGAAACTCAGCCTTTCTTTTTATACAGAACTTTAGATTTTCTAGAGTTACTAATACTACAATAATTCTGTTTATTGTATGCTTCTGTTGCATTGACTTGGAATATGAAGTTTTTAATAAAGCAGTGCGAAATATTGTAATGTGTATGATGTAATTTTCTTTAAAATGCTAGTTCATTCTGTTATTAAAAAATACCACAACTGCCAGTGTTCAGTTCTAATAAGCTTGTCTTTTTTTGTTGCACAGATGCCACACAAGTCAAGATCTGCAGCTTCAGAATGCCTGGTTTTAGGCCAGGATATATTTTTATATTATTGTTGTGTCAAGAACTGGCACTGGCACACACAGTTGCTCTAGTTTCAGTGTTGACCTTAAGAGAAAATATTAATATTATTCAGTCTTTCCTACCTCGTGGGGCTTAGATTCTGCCAGTTTGTTATGCCTTCCTGCAGTGCCCAGTCTGCTCAGCAGCCAAGGAAGGCTGTGTTCTAACATACAGACAGTCCTACCAGCATCTAATAAAGAAATTAGAACAGTGTGGGCAGTTGCCCTTTTGTAAGGGCTGCAGGACCTCCTTAGAGCAGCTTAGGTCTGCACCACAGAGTAGATTTCCTCCTCAGAGGAGGAGCTGGAAATAATCTGAGTGGGAAGTGTTCAGTGGGAACCTCACACTGACAAGGACTGTGCCTTCTTTTGTGCTCTTTAAGGCATTTTCTGTCTGAGATCACCTGGGTGCAATGAGGGTTGTGAGGCTTTCCTAATTATTACATGGGAGGCACTTCCAAGTAAACTCAAATATCGGGAGCCCACTTTCTGCAAGGATTGCTGTGCTGCACTGTGCTCCTGTACTGCATTTGAATCACACTGGAGAGCCTTGTGAAGTGCTTTGTAGCAGAGTCTGTTTCTAATGCACAGAAAGACCTTCTGCCTAATCTTTGCTGAACAAGCTATCCAGTCAGGATACAGGTGCACTGAGCATGGGGACATGGAACTTGAAGGCTCTAGCTAAGCCCTTCGAGAAGCAGGAAGGAAGTCAAGCAACCTTACAAATAGATTTGCTCATATTGTGAAAGAGCTGAATTTTCTTTATCCACAGTCTTGGTTATACATCATTACCCCAAGATCTCCTATTTACATTGGGGTTTCAAAGTTGTCAGAGAATGCAGATTAAATTCTTCAAGTGTGAGGACTTAAATATATATTGCTCAGAACAGCTGTTTTTTGTGACTGCTGCTATATAGTGAGAAACCAATTTTGGTTACTTCCCCTTGTAACTGCATTTACATAGTGACATATGTGGGTAGAATCATTATTTTCTGTTGCATTTACATGGTGACTGTTGGGGGGAAACACTGAGAGCCACTGGGTGTGTTTCTCCAATTCACTGCAAAAATAAAACATAAACAGGCATTTGTGCCTCAAAGATATTTTCTGTGATTGAAAGCAAAGATAACATTTTCTCTTTTTTTTTTCCCCACCTCTTTAGGACTTAGAGGAATTCTGCTTTAAGTTTTGTGTCAATCATTTGACAGAAGTGACACAAACTACAGCATTTTGGCAAATGGATGGTCCCCTGCTAAAGGAATTTATTGCTAAAGCCAGTAAGTGTGGAGCCTTTAAGAACTGAAAAAATGAGGCCGTAAGTCAAGGTGTTTGTGGGGTTCATTTTCCAGCTACAAGGTAACTGTGTGGGTCCAGGCAAGTGTTAGGTGGGCTCTTCCACCACAGAACCTGAAAGGCCACAGCGAAAACAAATGTTTTCAGTGCTCAAGAGTGAACTGTTGTAAAAATGTCAAGCAAAATACTCACTTGCATTTAACAAACCTGGATGGTGGACGCAGCTCAAGATTTCAGGCAGAGAGGAATCGCTGCAGTGTGCAAAGGATTCCGGCCGGTGTTCCAGACTTGCCTTTCCAGCCTAGGAAATCTCTGTTCTAGCACGGCCTGCTATTTCCAATTTACTGTTTGGGGTTGGAAAATGGTCTGACCAGAGCCACTGAATGATGTCACTTAAATCATTAACTCCCTGGGATTATAGAGAAGCAAATGGCGTGGTTCTCTCTTCCTGCATTTGCATGATTGTGAATGAATTGGCCATTTGCTGTGTGTAATTAACCAAGTGTATCCAGTGCTTCAAGTGTGCAAAAATAATTTATCTTCAAAGCCTACGCAAGTGACTTCGGAGAAAGGAGTTACTAGGAGAACTAATTTGGAGTAAATCTCTATATTTGGGTATATTTTAATATAAGTTGTAATGTGTACTTTGTGTAATCTGTTCAAGCAATATTTATAATACTTAATGGAAATAATTCCGCTCTTCAGTGACTTCAGATTATGTTGGTCCCTCAGAGGGGGAAGGGAAAGCAGGGTGGGATTTTGCTTTTAATTATTGTCTAAATTTAAACTACATGTAATAAAGTTCACTGAGGGGGAAGGGAAAGCAGGGTGGGATTTTGCTTTTAATTATTGTCTAACTACATGTAATAAAGTTCACTTTTTGTACCTCTTCACTAGCAAACTTTGGATTTTGAAGAACATTGCAAGCTTTTTGTGTTACATACAGCATCTAAGTTGCTTCATTTAAAAAACTTCATCAACAACAAAGGAAAAACCCAAATAAACAACAAATAAAGCCAAAACCCAACTCATCCTATACAATGAATCTTGCTGATTTCACTGTGCCTGGCAAAACACCTGTGATCTTGATTTCAGATGTTCACAAATTTCTTTCTAGGCACTAGTTTTAGACCTCAGTGGTTCACTCCATCTGACTTTTTTTACTAAGTCATCCTTAAGTGGCTGTAACCCTCCAGAAGGTATGTATGGACCATCCTTTTCATTCTTACTGTGTTTAATAACAGAGCTTGTCAATGCATTTTTGGTTTAGGTGGGTTTTTTCAGGCTGAGTGGCCCTCAACTCCTGGCCTTGGGCAGTAAACTGGTGATGTTTCTAGGCCCAGAAGGGCAGCAGACAAACTCTGTAAGCAATTAAAATTACTATTATTTTGTTGAATCAGGCACACCACCTAGTTCAAGAGCTTGTTTTGAATGCTGTCATTCTGTGCTTATCAATCACCACTTTCCTACAGAACAAGCTCAAGTGAGGAATTCCAAGTGGTCATGGAGAGAGGACAGCTGTTGTAACAGGATGTCACATGTGTCACACCAAGTGGTGTTTGCCAGTGCTCTGCCTGTCCCTCAGCAAAAGCAGGGACTGACAGCATTCCCCCCTCTTGGCTGTGTCCTGTGCAGCAGCTTAGGGATGGGGAGCACAACTCCACACACAGCTCCTTTAAAAAGTGTTTTATTTTATTAGCCTGTTGTGGCTAAACAATGCTTTTCTGTATTCAAACAATATTTTAAAGACAAAACACATGAAAGTTGAACCCTTCCTTAATGGAGAAAGGAAGATCCAGTCACTGTTTTGCTCTATTTGACAGTACTTGTGTTTACTATAATGCCCAACCCTTTCTGGTCTGCCTGCAAACGCTGCTTTTCCACTGCCATTGCAGCAGAAACAGTACACCTCGACCAGTCAATAAAGAATAATTTGGCTTTTTAAATGAAGCTCCTGTTTGTAAGTCAGAAGGCTTCTTTAAGTGCAAGTTCTGCTCATTTATCTTTTTTGGGAAAGCCAAGGCAGCACTGTGCTCCTTCAACCATCACTGTCTGGACACAGACAGCGAGGCAGCTACTGCTCAGCCAGGAGAGGGCTCCCACAGTTCAAGTGAATTTAGCAACTGTTCTGTGGCAGCTGAACACTCCCCTGGCTTTGAGAAAAAAGTCTTCCCTCGAGGGTTCTGTTGAGTTTTTGTAAAAGCTATATTTAGTTAATAACAGGCATTTATGTTCCATTGTGCAATATAAATGGAAGTTTATAGTGGAACCAGGAAAAATCTGAAGATGAAAATTTGAAAACTTGAAGAACTTAAAATTATTGCAGCAGTGAGGTATAAAAATTAGTGTAACACCACGTTCTTGCCTCATTCAGCCCTCATCTTGGGGCTGGGGCATTGGGCACTGACCAGACTGGTCTATGGTTTTTAGCATTAGAAAATCCTAACAACTGCACCATCACAGAGAGGTTATTCAGACACCGTACTGGATGTACTGGCCATGTTCTCTGGAGTAGGAAGGATGATTTCTTTTAAGTCCTGCAGTACCTCAATCTTGTGGTCCAGTCTTTTTCTGCTTTCCAGAAGTTTCTGGATTTTTTCTTCTGTTCCTATTATGAAAAAGGGATAAAAAGCTTTTATTATTAAGGAAAAAAAGGTTTTTATTATTATATAGAAGTATTACTAATATAAAACACATTACATAGTCATTAACTGCAGAGCTACCACTGCCTGGTTTAACCTACAATAAAACCTCTCCCTTTCTGCAGCAATGTCTGTAACCCACCACCCTGCACTCCTGATGCCTCACAAAGCATTAACTGCAGAGCTACCACTGCCTGGTTTAACCTACAATAAAACCTCTGCCTTTCTGCAGAGGTTTTGCACTGCACTCCTGATGCCTCACAAACAGCTGAACTCTGGGTCTGCTGAGAGCCTGGCTGGCTTGGCTGGTGTGTCAGGGAAAGCACAGAGCAGCAATCATGTACTCTGCCATCCAGCTATAAAAGTGCTAGTTTTGAGATTCAATTTAAAACATCTCAGCATATGTAAAAATTACTAGTTTAGCTACTACTCCCCTGTGTTAACTGGCATATGAGCTTTAAAGATTCTGTTTTCAGAGCCCATTTGTGTGAGGATTCCCCCAACAATGCTGCATGTCAAATCTTTAAAGATACCATATCTAAATTACACTCCTAAAGCAAATTTACAAGCCTGGTGGATTTTAGCCAACAAGAAAATTAAACATAAAAACAGATGGTTTGGACAACTGCATTCAATAACTTGATTCTCAAAACCACAAGTCAATACCATTTATTCTCCTGCTTCTGGCAAAATCATTATTGACAGTATCCTGATAGGATTAACCAAGTTGTTTACCTTATTTGCAAAGCCCTGCTTGACTGCATTTCTGCTTCCCTCTGCTCCTTCCATTTCCCTAATGTTAAAGATTATTGAAGTCAGTGAGAGCTAAGTAGGGAACCTTACCAGTATTCAGAAGCATTACCACAACCTTACAGTGTTAATCACAAGTTTTAAATGAAGCACCTGCTTTGTTCAGTTAGCAGGACACACAGAGGTGTTGGTGACCTCTGAGCAGCAGGGCTTGTCTGTCAAATCAAACTACTTTATCAGTGTGTGAGAATGTTGAGAGTTCAGATTCTAGTAATAAGACATTTTGCACAAACTGAGTGTATTTTTCTTCTTTTGGAGAAGATGTTGAAGGATGTCTCCAAAGTTCCAGTGAGTAGAGTGCAGAAATTCTCTCCAGATGTTTACCCTATGCCGTTCAGAATAAGAGAGCCTTAACTGATTTGAAAAAAAGAAAAAGGAAGGAAAGCACTTTGGCCTTTTGCCTCCCTGCTGCTTCTTCCTCTGTAGTGAGAAAACACAGCACCTGCTTCCTGTGGGTGGACATGGAAGGTGATGGACACGGACATGTTTGTAAATACATGACCCCAAGCTGGGTGTGGGTGTTGAACGTGGGCAGCCAGAGCACTGCTGCCCATGGGAAATTCTGGCAGCGGTCACTGAAGAGGGACCTGGTGCCCCAGCCTAGCTCTGACTGGAGAGAAGGAGACGCCCCTTCCAACTGCACTCAGGTGACACATACCTGAAGAAGGTGGACATGTACAAGTGGAACCAGGGGAAAAAACCCTCTTAAGAGAGTATCTGGATATGAATTAATGATCAGAAATTAACAAAGCAGCTCAGCTGGTTAGAGCATGGTGCTAATAGTGCCAATGGTTATAGGTTCAATCCCCATCATCCCACTTACTTAAGAGTTGGACTCAGTGATCCTTGCGGGTCCCTTCCAACTCAGAACACTCTGTGATCCTGTGGATTCAGCATCTGGGAGAGCCACAGATGGAACACCCACAGCTCAGTTTCTCTTCTGTCAAAAGGATGCAGCAGGAACAGAAGGAGCCCAGAGAAAGATGTGAGTGATGGGAATGACTGGCCTACAGAAATGCTTCCACAGGAAGACAGGTAAAAGATTGGGAACCTTCCACGTCATAGAGGAAATGAGCTGAAGGGAAAGAAAATGTATTTCTGTAAAGTCAGGAATGGCCTGAGGGGTGTGGACCTGGAATGACTGCCCCAAGTGCTATGGGGCTCTCAGTGAAGGAACTGCACAACAGTTTTAAAATCAAATATCATGGCCTTTGTCTCCACAACCTTTATCTGAATTGCAGAATTTGCTGCTACAAACACCCTGAAAACAGACGCTGTCAAGGAGCTCAAAAGCTTCTGGCCAGACTGCTGACCAGCACAGAGGAGAGGGAATCTGATGGAGGCATCCCTGCCCAAGCAGGATGCACAACAGAACTGAAAACTAAATAGTCACTTTCCCTTGGAGGAGAGGAAAAGAACCTCCAACCTAGAAATCTGAAACTGCTGCTGAGGCAACAGCACATCCTGTGTGGAAGGTTTTACATGCAGTTGAGTTTGCAGTAGAGCTGCACACTGCAAAAGGAGTGTGGATCCCTGTATATAAAAAGGGATTTTAAAAAGCCCTTTCACCAGTTACAGTTCAGAGTAGCCTTGCTGTGCTGGCACGTAAGGCTTTAGAACAAGATTTGCATGATGATTTAAGAAGTGACAAAAAGAGTGAATTTAAAGCATGGCAGATGACCTAAAATCATCAGCTTGAAACACAGTATTTATACCAGTCCTACTTTATGTAGTCCTTGACTCAGTATGTCACCACAGAGCTGGCTAGGGCTTGTAAGAGATTATGACAACAGTAACAATAAACAAAAAAGGGAAGGAAAAAAAAAAGCAGCTGGTGATTTGCTTTCCTCTCTATGGTTTCACTTGTAATTAACATGGTTTTCTTTTCTTTCTCACTGCTTCATTTTAAGCTCCTCTTGAATCAGTTTTGGAACCAACCTCATTATTACTGACCTTGAAATTAAAAGGTCTCAGAAAAGAAGATTGTGTGGTACAGGAAGAATTGAGCTGCTTGAGTTGTGTGGATTTGGAGAGGGGACAACTAATACCCATGAGAATCACATGGTTGTGTGCAGGCAGGTGCCAATATCAAGAGATTTTCCTGTAAGCTGAGAAGAGGGTGAAATAATTGATGCAGCAGTGAAAGAAACAAGTGTGATCCAAGGTTGTGTGACATGAGGAATTCTGAGCAGAGATGTTTTAATGTCCTAGGATGGGGCACTGGTGGAACCTTGTGTCAGACAGCTGCAACTGCTGAAAAAGGAATTTCAGTGCAAGAACAGGAGACTGAAGGGAGGAGCCTGGCTTTTTCAGTCAAGTGAAGGGGAAACAGCAAACATCATCTTCACACACCAAACCTCAACATTAGCTAATTAAAACCCTTTTCACCAGAATAAATTAAAGCAAAAGTTAGAACAACTGTTGGAGAGGGAAATGGGAAGCATGAGACTTGCCTATCTGAAAAACAGTTTCAGCCTTGTTGCTTCAAACAGCTGGGAATCCAAGCCCTACAGTTTCCTTCCACACTGGTGCTCCCAAGTAACTGTTCCTGCCTTTGTTTACATTTACTCTGAGCATTCTCAATTGCCCCCCAGTCCAGGTGAGTTCTGCTGGCCTTTGGCTGCTGTGTTTCAGTGGAAAGCACTACTCTGACCAGCATGTGTCAGCCAGCAGCAGAGCTGTAACACTGGCAAACTGCTGAAGGGGGGCTGTGGAGAAGGAACCCAAATAAGCTGCAGGAGAGTGGAGTTCCCCTGGGGTGGAGATCCTTTGGCCTTTTAAAGCTGTGGAACTGTGAGTTGCTCCCTCCTTCAGGCAGCCAGCCCCATCTGATATACTGTATTTCTAAAGATTCAGCTAGCCATGGCTTTTATTCAACTGTTTATATAACACTGAGAAAAAAAAGTTCCTTGGAATTTTGATTTTAAATGATTGTTCTATCAAAATTCTCATTAGAATAACTTCAATGCCAAACTCCAGACCAGCTGCTCCTCTGACAGCTTTTCTGCACATACCTGAATAAATATTTGTGAGTATATTTTCAAACAGTCCACAGTCAAACAGTGCCATCACTGTCTCTTCATACTCTGGGGAAAGAGATAATTTGATGTGATACTACTGAGTAAAGGTTTACAGAGCCCTACATTAGAAGTACCACAAAACAGTAATTACTTATTTTCCATCACACTAACTGCTCAAGGTTTTAAGATGTCTTCCTTCTCATATAATCTATATTGAGAAAAAAGGATCAAGTTGGCAATTCTTTCTTTTCAGTTTCATACAGAAGATTATTCCTTTTTGGATCTGCACCACATGAACAGTGCATTTAAAGAAGGGCAATATACTTAAGTCATATTTCACTTCAGTGTGCCAGGACTGTGTGATGGCAGAGCTGACTGCACCAACTCCTCCTGACCCAGCAGGTGTGGGGCTGAGCTATCCCTGTTTGCTGTTAAGAAACATCCAAGAATTACAGCTCAATTTCACACCTGAGGCTTCTGCTGAAGCAAAATACAGAACACTCGCAGAGTTCAACTGACACACAAGCTACTCATGAAGAAAGATTTTCCAGGTAGGATATTTCACTTCCCGTGCATGTGCTTCAGTTACCTTGCATAAAATACCTTCTTTATGCTTATGCAAAGGTATTACTCCTAACTTTACAAAACTGAGGGGAAAATTGGAGAGGAAAGTTCGAAATTTTCTTTAACTCTGTTGTGAACAAAGCAACATTAGATTGGAATTCTTTAAAAACAAAGTACCTCATACAAGGTGATAAAACCATAAAACAGACACAACAGACAGTACACTTGTAACAGATCATCCAAAGCCTTAAAATGTAGATACTTAGGGATTTTCACTCAGAAGAGAGTGCTGATATTAACAGACAGCTGGTACCTCTGTGAAGCTGCAAGAGCAACAGAGACTTATGACTTAAATAAAACCTGGCTCTCTTCAGGACCTCTCTGTTCCCCAGTTCCTGGGAGGACAGGCTGGACTGAACCTTCCTGTGCTTATGCCAACATGTAAAAAGGTGGCTTCAAAAATTCAAGTCAGAAGGTCTCACTAGAGATGCTGAGTTGGCAGCTCTTACATAATTTTGAGAAGTTCCTTGGAACTTTGACTGTTAAATGGTCATTCAAAAGGCAAGGTCATCCTCAACCTCCTGCACAGCTGCAGAAATAAGGACTGAGTTATTTAGCACCATGGTATTCTCAGGAAGGTGGCCCAGGGCCAAGGGATTCAGATGTGCACCTCTACTCTGACAGCAGAGTCCCTGCCATGGGTCCCCCTGAAACATACCTGTTTCTGAAGTGTTGTCATTCATCAGTTTTTCCTGAGCCAGGTGAAGTGTGTCCAGCATTTCTTCAAAGATGTCATCCAGAAGCCCAGCTTGTTTGCACTTCCTAACGAAGTCTATTCGAACTGTTAAAACACAAAAGCGTTCTCATACAGAAGTGATCTGTAAAGTGGGCTTTGCTCCCTCTCTTCAGAAAGTAAAATTTAAGCCAAAGCCTTTCCACCAGGAACAAACAGTTTTGCAGATCTCTGGCTCCTCCAGCCACCCACACAGCCCTTTCCAGTAGGAACAAAAAAGTAGCCAGGCAAACGTAAGCACAGTGCTGGGTGTCAAATTCCCTAAGCTCTAGATTTGGCTTCGTTCATCACAAGCAAACAGCTCCACAGCTCTAAATGTGCCATTCCTAAAGCTCAAGATACCCCCTAGTGATTTGTTTTGCTTGCAGTTTCACCAATCCATTGGACCACACCATGGACTGAACAGGCTAAAGCACAGAAAACAGTGCAATAAATGAATCAGTATTAGATTTGGTAAAAATTGAGACTACTTTTACTCCAGGCAACTAAACTTTTTTATTACAGCCCATTTTATATACCTACTTTGTCAGATTTGGATTGATAGAGAAATAACCATTTTTTCTTTATCCCTGAGCAGCAGGTCAGGGACAAGTTTTAGTAAGATCAATGCAGTGGGCTGTTCAAAAGCAAAAAGCCATTGGACAGCTCACAAAAGTCTGCCAGTCTCTGTTAAAAACAAAGTTATATTTTACTGGAGACATTTGTGAGGAAAGAAATGCCTTCTCACTTACATGAGATGCTCTATGAGTATTCCAGGATTCTTTATAGGTTTTCTGTTCTTTATAGTGGTAATGAAACTCAGAAAAGACCACTAGGCAGCCACCTGCAATACCATGCCCATACATTAAGCATATCCATAGTGAGGTGAATAATCACCACATTCCAAACTTCCAAGTGCCAGCAGAATCCCGACAAGCAACAGCAGCAGGAGCTTCAGGGTAATACGAAAACTGCAGCACTGAAGGATAGCTCCTGTGATCCATCTCACTGTTGTAACACCATATGTATGCAGTGAAAGCCTGTACTGTGTAAGCACCCTGTGTACAGCCAGGCTTCCAAAGGCAGGATGTGCTGCCCCCTCCTCAGAGCACCTCCCTGTTAACGCCTCCCAGGGTTCCCATTTTGGATTTATCTGTTCTGATACGGAGGAACAGTGTCAGGCAGAGGCAGCCTGTCTGCAGGAGACAGAGCTGAACAGCCAGCCAGAGTGGGGCATTCCCATCTGAATGTCCCACCAGCTCACACCACAGCAAGTCTCACTCAGCCAAACCACAGGCATTTGTTTGCTGCACAGTTATTAAAACATTCTGCAAATCAGACTTCTGCTGCCACACCAGAGCACAGAGAGCCACCTGTCTCAGGAGAATCGTAAAAATACATCTGCTGCACAGAATTTGCTACCAGCCATCTCCAAGCTCTGCACTTCAACATAACAGATCATAGTGCCTCCTAGCTGCTCCATAAATTTGTTACCAAATGTCCAAAATATCAGAATAAGGCTCCTTAACACTGAAGTTAAAGGGAGCATCCTTTCTTCAGGCCCAAGGCCCTGCAGGGAATGCTCCTAACCTTATGTGGACACCTTGGTTCTACATTAAGTGTGTTGCTTATATACACTCCCTACAGACATATTACAATTTATCCATTCTCATAAATCCCACCCCATGCTCCCAGAGAATAAGTCCTTTGTTCCATCTACCACTGCATTCTTGATCCACATATCTTCTTTGTGTCTTGCCACTGTCCTTGTGGGAGGAGCAGTGTTCACATGCCTTGTTTCTCTGCTAAAAGTATCAAGGCATGTGAATTCAGTAAAAACTGAATTAACCCTTCTGGTATCAAAGTGAGTCTCACCTTTATGCCTGTTGTTTTTCCTTTTTACTATTCGTAAACTGTTTTCTTCTGCTGTCTCTTCTGTACTCTGTAAGAAAATCAAAACAATATATTTTTACATCATGCTGACATTTACTGCTGTTGTCATTATCATACTTGTGTCTTAGCAGAAAGATAAAAAGCAGTCCACATTTCTGTGAACAGTCAGCTTCTCTGAATGGCTAACAATATTCCTCTGCAGACATTGTATTGTGAAAATGGAAGCAAAAACTGCTTCAAAGCAAAAATGCTTTAAGAAAAGCCAGGCACCTGGGGCACCACCTTCCTTAACCACTGCATTTGCAAATAGCAGAGAAGTTAACAAATGCCTACTGGGAACTCCCAAGACTCTTTCTGAACATTGTCAGAATACTTTGATAAGTAAATCCTTTGCTGTAGCACGTGTGGGTCCCCTGTTTCAGTAATTCAGAATTACCATTTCTTCTGTGATGGTGGGAGATGCCAGTGTACGTCTTCTTTTCTTTTTAGGTGCACCTAGGAATCAATAAACAAAGTAACAAAAGTGACAACCTCAGACTGACCATCACACATTATATAAATTCCTTCTTTTCCCAAAAAGCTAAGGAAGTGAGGCTCTTTGAGTGGCAAGGCTCATGTTTCATCTTCCCCAAAAACATGACATTTCAGCAGAATTCACACTGTTTCCATTAAGGAAAATTGCAAGCATCAACCAACCATAAGGAAAAAGTGCAAATCATTATAGCATTTCAGGCTATCACTTAACCTTTTCAACTCAGTAGATTTTTAATTGTGGCAGAGTGAACTTATTCCTCCTGGCAGCAGCACCACCTCTAGGTGTTAAAAAACTGTTTGGTTTCTTTTCCAAACAATTCTTACATATGTTAATACACCCTCAAACCTAAGACTACATAAAGAATTACTTAAGTGTCTCAAAGACATACAAATGGCATTAGGTTTTTCATCAACATAAGGACCCTCCCAGAAAACCTCCAGAAGCCATTTGACTTGTCAGTTTAATATTATTTATGCTACAAAGTGTTTGTAGTGATGTGGTACAAGATCTCTGAAAAATTATCTCTGCTTTCACTGAGTCCTTTCCATCAGCATGCACCAGACTCTTGCCAACATCACAACTGGCAGCTTTTGGAAACAGCTACAGTATCACAAGCAGAGAAAGAGAAAGATAGCTCTGGCAAGGAAGACATGGCAGGAGCAGAGAAAGGCAGAGAAGAGTGCAACCACCCACCAAAACCTGAGTGTTTAGTGTACAATGGGGTTATACTTCCCCTTCCCTGTTTAATTCTAGAACCTCTGGGCAGCACTTAGTAAGGCCTTTCCTGTTAGAAATCATCCTATCAAGAGGAATGAGGAGCCACTGTTGTACATGTAGGCTGTGGAAACAAGTTTGGGCTTTGGGCACTGGTGCTGTACATTTGCATTTTTCATGGGCTGAAAGGAAATTGGTCTCTCACTTCATCCAAACCAAACCTGTAATGCCAAATTTGGGGCAGTGTGGGAGATGCTGCTGCAGGCACAAAGTGTTCCTTGCTGTCCAGCATGGTATTTTTGACACACGATGGGATTTCCTGAGCTCTCCCAGATATCTGCTGTAAGGATGCCTTATACAAGAGGAACACAGTCTGAAGAGCAGCCCAACTCCTCCTGCCCTGCACAGCTGGCTGCTCTCCTGCATTTGTCAGCCTTTACTCTGTCCACCCCCAACTCTTCCAGTTAAACAAAGGTTGGAGGCTGTTTCCAAGTCCAAGCTGCTCTCACATCCTTGCTGCACAGAGCTGCAAGGAGAGTTCTTGGCCCATAAGGCACCTTATCCCTTTCCAATCACACAGCAGAGCCCTGACATTCCAGCACAAGAATATTGTATGAACCAAGAATAAGGGGATTTTCCTTGACTCCATTTTCTCCAAACTATGAAGCAGGAGACACTGGGCTTGGGGAACCAAATGTCTTCTACTCAACTCTCCATTTGCTCCCCAGGGAACAGTTACTCTCAGGTGAGAGAAGCTCATTCAGGAGGCAGGGTAGACACTGCCAGCAGAATCCATTTACCCCTCATAAACAGAAGCTCTCTAAATTAAGTGTGTTGGAGGAATTCCTACAGGAGAAAACTCTCTTCCCAGGGAACATTGCAAATGCAGCATTTGAAGACACAAAACCCATCCGGTATCTAAAGGGGACTACAAGAATACCAGAAAATGACTTTGTACCAGAGCATGTAGTGACAGGACAAAGATGGTTGGCTTCAGACTGAAAGACAGCAGGCTTAGCTTAGATATAAAGAAATGCTTTACTGTGAGGCTGGTGACTCTCTAGAACAGTTTGTCCAGAGAAGTTATGGATGCCCTGTCTCTGGAAATGTTCAAGGCCAGGCTGCATGGGGATTTGAGAATCTGGTCTAGTGGAAGGTGTGTCTGCCCAAGGTAAAGAGGCTGGAACTATCAGATAATCTTCAAAGTTCCTTCCAACCCAAATCATTCTGTGATTTAACCTTGTAAGACTTGAGTACTCCTGATGAACAAAGTGGTCTAGAGAGCTGCCTGAATATTTCTGGTACTGGAAACAAAGCAATCCTGGGCCTGTCCAGTACTTGTACAGGGGATCACCTGGGGCCCTGGGCAGCCCCAACAGACACTGACAGCCATTAGATCCCAGAAATCAAAATGATTTTGAAAAGGGAAAAGAGGTCAGGATTCAGAACTATGGATAAGTAAAAAGCAAAGCTACTAAGTAAACTGAGAAGATGCATTTGGTTAGTGAATCACAACGATATCAGATACTAAACAGACTATGTCTGGCTAAAAAGTGAGGCGGTGGGGTTAGAAATTAATTTAGGGTAGAAATTAATTTTTGAGTTAGGATAGCTGTTTTAGACGATGTATGTTGCTCAACCTGCTTAGCTTGTAACTTGCTGTGCTTTGCAAAGGCCTGAAGAGCAGACAAAGGAATGCAGGGATCCTGATAAGAAGAGCTCATTTCCCCAAACAAGATGGAAGGAATGTGAGGCCTCTTGGAGATAAGAGGCTCCTCAGACCCTGCAGCTAGCTTCAGAGAGATCCCACATGTCCTGGTGCTGAATAAATACAGACCTACCTTACAAGTTTTACAAGTTGTGGAGTCTTTCCACAAAACCCCAGCCCTCATGAATAAAAGTTTAAATAATAATCACCTAACCTATTCCTTAAGTGTCATCAGGGTGGAGCAAGACTCTGTCAAGAAGACAGGCCAAAGTTTGCTAGCCTTCAGTGGGAGCACACCACGGTCAGCACAAGTGCTTACAGTTCAACTGAGCTCAAATTCAAAGTGAAGGCCAGTCTAGGAGCCACTTCACTGTGAGCAGAGTTCTGTGCATTAGGCTAACAAAGTCCAGCTTTGGCTGGGATTTCCAAATACCTCTGAATCAGAAAGGACCAGGACTGCCAAATGAAGCTGCATTTCTGCAGCACAGGAAGAAATCCTTAAAGAGGGGTTGTACAACCCTCTTGTTACACTTAAAAAGCTCTTTGGGATCCTTCAGAATGAAAGGCCCTATTTTAAAAACTACTGCAGTGAATAGAGAAGATGCAAATGTGAATGTCTGCATAACCACAGATAAAATCCCAAGGTGACCTCTCCTGCAACAGCCTTTTCCTGGTTAATCTAGTGCAAACTTGTGTGTGGCTCTCCTGTCTCACAGTCCTTGGGCCTACTTCGTAAAGAAGGGTAAGAATGATTCCGTGAAGGATTGGGTCCATTGCGGTTTAAGTCAGTTTTCAAGGAGATTTGGGGAGGATTAAATTTTAACTTTTCCCACTTCAAAAAACCTTCACGACTTTTTTCTGCACTCATGTGGATCTCAGACAAACCACTCCTGCAAGATTAGAAATCTACCACTCAATATGAAGGTGGTAATATTTATCTTGTTCTTACGAGTTACTGACTGTAGGATGCAAACTTTTAAAACAAATGAAATCAATGAAGTCATTAAAGAAACTCACCATAGTGATTGGTCCTATTCCCTGGGTCATGTTTTGGGCAGAACACTCTAAAATTTAAGTTCAATTTCAAGAAAAAGAGAAGAATTATTAATAAATAGTGCAAGCTGAGTTATGCTGACCTATTTTAACAGATATTTTTCCCTCTTTCCACCAAACATAAACTGAAAGACAGTTCAGAAAAACCAGGATTTTTGTTCAGCACTACCCCATCAAAAACCACCTGCTTTAAAGTCCTGTGCATGCACAACCTTGTATCTGTACTCCCAGAGCCACAGTGCACTCTCAGCCCACCCTGCTGGGGCGTGCCCGCTGTTCAGGCCCTGAGGCAGACACATTTCATGTGGCAATCACCGTGTCAGAGTCACTGAATGAGATTAACGCTCCCAAGGTGAAGCCTCAGTCCTGGCACTGCTCCCTCACAGCAGCTCTGCCCCACGCAGGCCAGGAGCCTCCTCAGACACATCTGCCAGTGCCACCTTCCATTCCTCAGCCCTGCAGGACACTGGCAGTGCCACATGGGACCACCACACACAGCACCAGGCACCCACCTGCCTGGAGATCTCTGTGCCCCTCCCTCCCACTGCCCTGTGCTCATGGAATGGCCCCCAAATCCTGAGTATGTGGGGGAACCCTGTGTGAGGTCCAGTAGCTTAAAGCTGCTCAGTCCATTCGTTACTCAAAGACTTCAGGAATATGTGAAATGGGAATAATTTCAGTGGTTCTAGGAGAGCAATGTGAATTCCTTGGAAGAGGCAAAATGAAACAAATTTATCTGAAAATATTCCTTAACTTTTGGATACAATAATGTGCAGAGAACATGAACCAACTTTTACAATATGCCGTTCTTACAGAAGGATCCCAAGTCACTTTTTAAGCAAAAATGCCTTGTCAGGAGCATGGCTTAGCTTATCTCTTCCTTACAAATCTACTTGCTAAGACTTCTGCAATTTTTAAAGGGAACTGCATTTACTAGGGTATTTTCTAATTACTGTCATTCTTTTAACAAAAACAGAAGAACTGCCCTTAGAAATGCAGACTGTTGGCTTGATGAGGAACTTCTTTTGCATGAAATGCATCTTGAAGCACAAAAATCAGATTTAGGTATGCCTAACAATGTAATCAGAAAGCTATATACTGGACACACCTTATTTACACCCCTGAATTTCTAATACTGCCCTTTGGAAAATGTTATTTTAATTCTAGTCTTTCACAGTTAAAACCAACTCATCCTAAGCACAAGAACATCTTACAAAGTACAGACAGTATATTTTACTACTCAGGCCCACTTCATTTGGAAGCACTTCCCTACTATCATTTTTGCTGTGCAAATTGCATTTATTTCTCCACCTCTAAGTGGTGTAAGCACACTGGCCACTTCCACAGCACCATATGATTTCTCTTTTTATTCTGCTCCATTTGTTTTGATGATCACTACCCATCATCACAACGATGGCAACTCAGAATTTAAAGCCACCAGCTCTGCCTCTCTCGAAGGAATTCTCTTTTCAGCATGTTCTGTTTCACCATGAAAACGTGCAGGGGCTGTCAATCCACATCCACTGTTTTTCAAGTGTACTCTCCAATAATTTCAGCTAGCTACAATTTTTGTGCTTTATTTACACCACTGCTACTGTGCAAAAATCTTTAGGTTCAAATCCTTGAAAGCTGTCCTAGTATCCTTCTCTACTTCAGTCCTTTCCCAGTTCTTCAATACAGGTTGCTACAGCCTAGTTTCCTAGGCTATCAGTCTCACACAGAGACTTAAAGCATTTTTAAGGGTCCGTCTTCCAAACTTCCAAGGTCACTAGCTCCAAAATGCCACCAAACCAAACTGTATATGCAAGCACTTCTTTACAGCCGTCAGTCTCACTTGTTTTTTAACATCTTGAGTTCAGTCTTCTTGAGCCTGAGTTATCCTTTCTAAAGCTGTAAGCTTTAAAAAGGATAAAGCAGTAAGATGAAAGCCATCTATACTGTGATCATAGAAAGTTTCCATCTTCCCAGTTCCATCTTTCATGAGCTTTGCAGAGTCACAAAGATTTTACAGCTCCCATCCTCCCTGCACAGCTGGGCTTACAGCCTTGCACAGATGCATTCATTTGAGACAGAGAGCACTGTGAACCAGCCAGGAGTACACGTCTCTTGACACAAAAGGACTCATCTTCCACCCCTACCAAGGACTGCACTAGTCTACCCCTATCTGAAACAATTAGTGATTAGATGATCCCCAAATTAATCTAAGTCTAACATGACCTGTGTCCTCTCTGGCCTTGCACAGAAATGAGCATCAGGGCTTTTATGCACCTCAGACTTTACTATAACTTCAGCATTTCAAAAGGTCCCTGAAGCCCCAATTTTTCAACCCCTTCATCTGCATCCTCCAAACAATTTGTTTCATCTGTCAATGGCAATGCAGGCACCCCAAGGGCAGTGGACAGCAGGACTAGCATGATCAGGACAGAAAATTTACTTAGAAGCCATTCAATCATGTTATTGCTAGCAACATAATTGACATACAAGGCCTTTGGTGGGAATCAAAGTTCTTTGCTAGCAAGGGGAGGGAAAATTCCCTGAATTTTACTAATGTGAGCAGACCTAGAAGTGCTATAACCTGCTCTGTGCTCAGACCACATTTACTGGAGCTTCTGAACCAACAAAAAAATTTAGAATCTCATTGACATCAATAAAAGTCTTGGTTCCTGAAGATTGGCTAGAGAGTCACCTGTAGACGCCGTTGACCTCGTCGGTCTCCACGGCCGCGTCGTCGCAGAGCGCGCAGAAGAAGTGGTAGCTCCTGCGGCACGCGCGCTCCTCGCAGCCCACCGTGGCCCCCTTCTTGCGGCAGAAGTTGCACACCTGCAACAGGAGGGGGTCACCAGGTAAGTGTCACAGGCAGCTACTCCAAATCCTGCCAGACAGCACAAATGCTGTTCTCTGTGGGAATATCCAGTACTCCGTTGCAAGTCACCTCTGTGTAATTCGTCAGGCAAATTCATTCCTGCAAACGCCTACCCTGGTCATTGCTGCAGCCACCTTTTTGCTATCTTACCTCTATTTCATACTGATAAATTTATAAAATGACACAAAGAGCCACATGAGGGCACTGAGCAACTTTCCCAAGTTATTTCAACATTAATTGGTGTTAATGTTTGTATTTATGTTTCCTTGGCTAACTTCATAATGAAAAGAGTTCCACCCAGGACATGGCGGAGGAGGGCAGTGCAAGACAAAGGCAGTCAAAAAACCCCCTCATTTAAATAATCTGATTTCTGCTAAACTCAGAATGTGTTCCCCTTTACAATTGTGGATTGCATTCTTTTGTTTCAGGCACTGGCTTCGTTCTTTACCAAATGCTCAGGAAACTTCGACTAAGGACACAAAGGCCAGAAAAAAACCCACCTGCATTTTAACACAGAATGAACTAAATCTCACCAAACCAAATATTAAATCAATTACTCCAGTGCTAAACCTGTAATTTCCCTAATCTTACTAGATCAGAAGGACCAGATACTTGAATGGGGTTTTTCAAATCACAGAACAGGCCAGACAACCTTCAATAGTATGAGACAGGACTAACTGCAGATTCAGAAACATTTCCTTACCAGCCGCTTTCCTCTCCTGAGCTCCTTTAACACTGATGACACATCAAACCTTATTTCCAGATTTTCTGGGTTATGATCTTCAGATTCCACAAATCCTGAGGAAAATAACTAAAGACAAATGAGACAGTTTTTAAGAAATAAGAATGACTCAGTCACCAGTGCTGAAAAGAGACAAAGAATACATCTTTTCTTCTTGTACTTTCCCTACCTAAGAAGTCTGATTTTTCTCTGTGTTAACAAGAGATTTCACCTACAAAGAACAAAGAGCTAAGCTTAAACATTTCTGCAGTCAAAAGAAGTTCCTTCTTTCACACAGGAGATTTCACAAACCTGAAGGCAAACTAAGAAAAGATAACAAGGTGAGAAAGTTAAGTTATTAAAAACATGAACAGAGAAAATGTGGAATTCCAGGGTGCCCAGAGTAAGGATGAGAAGATCTTCAGGCAACAGACCTCCACACCTTGGACATCTTATTATGTGCTCAGCTGCTCAGACCTGCAGCTGGATGCTACATTTCTCTGTAATACGATTTCCATACAGCCAATGCTGACAACAGCTGAGTGCAGGAAAAACCCAAAACATTGTACACATCCTGGGAGAAACCCACTAAAAATGCACACATGCACACTCGGGCCACTTTAATTCCCATAGGACTGCTGAGCCATGACAATGAGTGAGGAAGGGGAAGTTCTTGGCAAATATTTCCCAAGCATTACATGTAGCTAATTCCAAACAAAAGGGAGCTAACCTTTCATCAACTAGCAGGCACAGTCTGTCTGCTCAGAAGGTGATAGCTGACTGCAAAAAAACCCAAACAAGCCTAAGGCAGAGAAATGAGCAAAGTTTCTGGGAGGAGAAAGAAAGGAGAAAGAAGAAAAAACAGAGAGAGGGAGAGACAGAGAGGTTTTAACATTGGAGAAACATTAAGGCCATAATAAAACCTGTTTCAAACCAAACATCCAAGTGCCGTAAAACAACGCTGTTGTGAAACATTGTGATAAAAAATAGCCAACCAAAAAAGATATTGGAAAACTAAAGATGCAGACATAACAATTGTGAGAATAAGAAGGCTGGGACAGTGAGAGCCAGAAAGCTGCTCTAGCAGCAATCTCCTTTGCTAAACAGCTCTCAGCTATATTCTCTCTCTGCTGAAGGGAGAATACAACAGCTGTAATTGATTCTGCACTCCAAGAACCAGCTCCACCAACATTCCAGAATAAAGGGGAGGCAAGAAGAGTAGAAGGATAGCAACACACTTAAAGCTTCACAGATATTTTTATATAATCAACTTCTAATATTTTTATTCCTTATTTTAAATAAGGGACATGCTGGAAAGTTTTTTAAGCATCAAATGATATGGATATTTTCCTGCAAAGGTTTAAGCACACAACTTTGTGTGGTGTGAGAATCCTCATCCAAGAGGATGAGTCTCAATAGTGCCTCAAGAAGGCTATTCCTGTTGCTAGACCATATGTGGTTTTTGTGGTGTTTTCATGTCATTGCTCAGCAATAGACACATGAAAACATCACAAATCAACAGCTCCAGCTGTGCAGACACATCCTCTCCCACTGCAAAATCCCAGCCAAGCCCTGCTGCTTTTTGAGCTTTTCAATCTAATACAAACTTGCTGGTTTGAGTAACCAGCCATTCAATCCAGACATCATTGCAAAACTAAAAACAGATAAGCAGTGGAAACTTCCCCCTTTTCCCCTCTCCACTTCTCTTCAGTTCTGACCAGCTAAAGGCACTCACCAGACAGTCCTGATGAGCTGCAATATTTCTCTCTGTGGCGATGTACATGACAGAGCCAGCCTCCCCTTCTGAACAAAAGGCACATGTTGTTCTCACCATCTTCGCCATTATCCAGAAAGCACCTAGGGCAGGAAAACTGGGACAAAACACAAAGCAATTGACAACTTCCATAGGCCAAGCAGGACAGAGGAAAGCAGAGCCTGCCAACACCTGCCCTCTGAGTGCTCCTTCACCTACACCCCCTGACCCTTGGTGCTTTGCTCCTCCAGTAACAAACACCAGTAGAACAGGCAAAGCCTGCACTTGGCACAGCAGTGGGATGGAAACCAGATCCCAGGAGCTCCAGCAATTAAGCAGGAGAAAGAGTGGTTTATCTCCTCTTGGAAAGTCACTACCAAGTCATAAGGGATAATACAGGAGTTTTCAAGCTGGCTTGAAATATCTGCTCCAACAACAGATCCCAGAGCAGCCTGGCAAGTCATGCTCTAAGGTGTGAAACTGCTTTTATGTGGAGGAGGGCAATCCCTCATAGTGTTTTCTTAACCTACTGCTGCCATGTGTGAGTCTGCGAGTCAACAAAGGATGGAAAAACAGCTGCCCCCAAGCTTCACCAGTACATTCCAGGAGTTCACAGAAAACAAGGACGAAACAGTAATTGCTTGCTGTAAGAAAGATGTAGCAAAGTAGTGTGGAGAGATCTGCAAGTAAATTGGGGTACAAGAAAAAATCATAAGTGAGAGATTCAAACATGCTCTCTCAGCAAGGTGAAATGCTAACAAGGGGACAGAATTTTTCCTGAGCCCTGGGAATTGCCCCAGGACACTTGTTATCTTTTCCTGGCCATATCCACTCAAGTCTTAATTGTTCTTCACACAGTCTTTCTCCAGCAGCTGCAAAATTCTGAGGCCACCCACATACTTCACAAAAGCAGTCTAAGTGTTTCTGGACAAGCCTTTACACACATCCCCATCAGCAGGTTAGAGCATCACCCCATAACATCTGTAGCAGAAATTTTACTTGGTCTATGTTTGTTGTGCAAGTCCACCACAGAAATCTTCAACTTCCCACTCCTACAAGGTGTGGTACTCCAAACTATCCTCTGCTGGAGACGTCACCTCTGACAGCGTAAACACCTGTATGACAAAGGGGAAGAAAAACCTGCATTTACTTTCAAGAAATAGGAAGATCTGAAGTTAAATTATTCTAGTGAGAGGTAGTAAGGCCCAAGCACAAAACAGGCAGGAAATCTCACAGTCCAACAAATACAGAAACCTTTTTCTGGGTTTCAACACACAAACTGTTTTGTTAGCTCCCATTCCCCTTGCAGAAAACAGACTGGGTAGCCCCAGGTGAAAGCACCACCAGAGTAGAAGAGGATTTTTTATGTTTTTTCCCCCTCCTTGCTTACATTACCAACAATTTACTTGTAATCACAAGTCACTTTGCACACAGCTGGAGTTTTTTTTCCCTTTGTCCTTCCACGTCTTGTGAGCAAGGCAGGGTAGAAACTGATTTCAACACCCATCTATAACTGACCATCATACCACTTTCAGAACTTGAACAATAAATAAATACAATAGAAACAAACAGAAACACAAAGACATATTAGAACTACAATAGAAAAGAAAGAAATTCAAAAGAAGAATGAGATAGAGTTTGAATGGCCTAGAATACAGGAAAAGCTCTCTGCAAACCAATACCTGGAATCAATGCAGACACACAGTGCCTGCTCAGGCTTAAGTCAGAGGATCCAGCTCTAAGAATTTTTTAAGGAAGGGGCTAAACATGGACTCTACAGTCCCTGGTGTTCTTACAGGCTCCAGAGAAATCCTGATGCTGACGGAGAACACAAGACACTTGATCATGGTCAGCCTTGGGGTTACCCCAGCACCTCTCTAGGAATCCTGAAGCAGTGGAAGTCCAGCTCTTGGCCATTCCTCTGTGCAGAAGCAGCCAGCCTGCACCTCCAGCCCTGTTCAGCCCTGTATCCTGTCCCCCTGTGGTGGGTTGGCCGTGTCTGGATGCCAGGAACTCCCCCAGGCCACTCTATCACTCCCCTCCACAACTGGATGGGGAGAGAAAATATAGCAAAGGGTTCATGGGTTAAGGACAGAGAGAGATCCCTCACCAAATACCATCACAGGCAAAGCAGGCTCAGCTTGGGGATAATTAACTGAATTATGGATAATGAGAAGTAAAATAGATTTTAAAACCACTTGCCCTCATCCCTCCCTTCTTTCCAAACTCTACCTCCTTCCCCCAAGAGGCACTGGGAGATGGAGAATGGAGATTATGGTCAGTCCATCACTCTGTTCCTGCCACACACAGGGAGACTCCTTCCCCTGCTCCAGTGTGGGGTCCCTCCCAATGAAGACAGACCTCCACAAACATCTCCGTGAGTCCATCCCATGAACAACAGTTCTCCATGAACTGCTCCAACACAGGTCACTCTCCCATGGGGTGAAGTCCTTCAGGCACAGCCTGCTCCAGTGTTGGTTCCCCCAAGGGTCACAAGTCCTACCAGGAAGCCTGTTCCAGTGTGGGCTCCCTCTCCATGGGTCTGCAAGTCCCTGCCAGGACCCTGCTCCAGCATGGGCCTCCCACGGGGTCACAGCCTCTCTCAGGCACCCACCTCCTCCACAGGCTGTGGGTGGATCTCTGAATCCCCATGGACCTCCCTGGGCTGCAGGGACACCCTGCCTCACCATGGACTGCACCCAGGGCTGCAGGGGAATCCCAGCTCTGGCACCTGGAGCACCTCCTGCCCTCCTGCACTGACCTTGGTGTCTGCAGAACTGCTCCTCTCACATATTCCCACTCCACTCCTCTCTGCCCAATAACTTCTTTTCTTCCCTTCTAAATTATGTTACCACAGAGGTGCTACTGTCATTCCTGCTGGGCACAGCCTTGGGAGCAGAGGGTCAGTCCTGGAGCCGGCTGGCATTGGCTCTGCTGCACACGGGGGAAGCTTCCAGCAGCTTCTCACTGAAGCCACCCCTGCCACCCAAACCTGGCCACGCAAACCTGACACACCCCCACAGGAGCCTGTGCTCTCCCTGAGCCTTCTGCTAGAGCACTACCAGGAAGAGGATATGGAGCTGAACGGGGCACAGGAGCTGGCTGGCTGCTCCTACGCAAGAAGGGAGAGGCTAAGGGCAGGTTTCCAGTTTCACAGTTCAGTTACATTTCACCTGAACAACGCCTTGCTTCTGCAGGGCTCAAGCCTGCCACTCAGGGATTCCAGCTGAAACACTTGGATCTCTCTGCAAAGGCAAGAAATCCTTGCTCCACTCTTTCAGCAGTACTCATGACAGCATTGCTCTGTTACTATTTCTCCTGCTGTCTCTTTAAAGTCAAGGAATCTGAAACTATTTAGCTCTTTTTTGTACAGAAGCTGGTCTGCAGTTCTTTCCATCTTTGTCACTTCTATACTCTTCTGGCTACACTCAAAGAGGAGCCTACCACCTCCAAAAGGGTGGGCTACCATTTACACTGCAAAGCCACAACATCCCTCTGTATTTTCCTTCTTGCCTTAATAATTCTCACTGTTGCAATCACATTTTAGCCTGCTTCTGAGCGCAGAGCTGACACTTCCAGAGAACGACTGCTGCAAGCATAAAGCAGTGAAAAAACCATGAAGCTCAACAAGAAAGGGGGCCCACCAAAATCAGAGCAGACACAGCTGGGTGGTTTGTGCTGCCACGGGTCTGGAGAGGAACGTGAGGCAGCATGGGAGCTGTGTGGCCTTTTCCTTCCCTTGCTTACCAGGAAATGTTTTGCACCAGTTGCATGTCTGGGGTATTCCACGCAACGCGACCACAAACAATGGAAGGTACAAAAGTACCCTGCTTTGTACCTAACCAGAGGGGCAGAATTCAACACAGAAATCATAGGCACAGAACCACGGGTTTGTCCTCCTGGTCACCCCAGAAGGGACACCTTTCAGAGAGAGTCACATACTTGTCACAGAATCAGTTAGGTTGGGAAAGACCTCTGAGGTCATCGAGTCCAAACAGTGACCCAACACCACCACCCTGACAACCCCAGACCAGTATCACAGCTGCCCACATCTCCTCCTTAATGGCATCAGATTAAGTAGGGAGGGCATCAGTGTCATGCTTGTTTCTCTGCCACATCCATCATCTTCCACCATCAATGCAGGATTTTCACCTGCTGTTTTACAGTCAGTTCCTTGCTGTCCCAAAGTCCTTCTGCAACCCTTCGCTTCTGCTGTCACCACCACGGGGAACCCAGGGGGCCCAATTCAGCTGTGAGACCTGGGGGGCTTCTGCTGCTCCCCGCTCACGACAGGACAAATGACACAGCAAAAGAAGGCAGAGCAGCAGCTGAGAGAACAGTCACACCTGGACACTCCTCCTGTACCTCTGCCATTTCCTAGAAGGAGGGCTGCTGGTTTCGGTTCTTTAGTTTTTCACAACAGTGACTAAAGGGAAGAAGACAGGAAAGGAAACAGAAAGTAAGAAGGGAGAACAGTGCTTGCACCACTTTCAAATTCAGCAATCCTGCTGAAACATTACCAGTTTATCTACAGTATTTGCTCTCCAGACCCAGGTCTGAAAGCATTCTTGTATGTAAATATCCACCTTTTACACAGGAGGAGGCTAAGGCACAGAGTCTCTTAGTACATCCATAGGGGAGTAAGGAAAAGAACCCAATCCCCTGAATCCCAGCACACTGTTGAAACCCACTGCCGCAGCTCCTGCTCTGTTCCCCTCTTCCTTCCACCGCAGTACTGGATCTATGGAAGCAGGAAGCAAGAAAGGAATCACACGCCTGTTACCCCACACTCGCTGTGTCCCTCATTTGGGACGAGGGCTGGAGATTTCACAGCTGAACACGACCGACACTCAGCTCCCCCTTCTCCCCACGTCAGCACAGAACAGACACATCCAGATTTCTCAAGGAAGAAGAACGAACAAACAAAAGCTGTCTTTCTGATCCCCTCTCACTTGCGAGCATCTCCTTCCAACCCCGCCGTGGGCAGGGCACCTTCCGCTGGACGGGGCTGCTCAGAGCTCCATCCAGCCCGGCCCTGAACACCGCCACACACCAGACACCCACAGCTTCTCCGTGCCGGTGCCTCACCGCTCTCACCAGCAAAGAACTTCTTCCCGACACCCCTCGGGCCCCGGGAGTCCCTCACGGAGGTGCGGGTGCCGCCTCACGGAGGGGCCGGGGCCGCCTCACGGAGGGGCCGGGGCCGCCCAGCCCAGCCCCGGCCGGCTCCACTCAGTGGCACTGCGGGGGCAGCGGGACCGGCGCTGAGGCGGCTCCGCGCTCCCCCCGCCGCGCGTGCCCGCGGTGGTACTTACCGCCCGCTCGCGGCCCGGCTCGCGCGAGCCGACGCTCCCGCCGCCCCCTCCCCCGCCCTCAACTCTCCCGCGCGGAAGCGAGAGCGGCCGGCTGGGGCACGGAGCATGCGCGGTGGCGCCCGCCCATGCTCCGCCCCGTACATCCGCGCGTCGCTGATTGGCTGCGGCTCTCGAGCGGCTGGCGGGAAGGCGCGTCGAGGAGGCGCCCGTTACGTCCCACGGGAGGCGTGGCCGGACCCCCGCGGGCGGGCCGGGCTCCCGGGGCCGGTGCGCGGGTTCGAGACCCGCGGCAGGCACTGCCCGGGCCGCCGCCGGACTGCCACTTCCCGAGGGCTTTCACCGTGGGAAAGGCGGTATCCCGCATCCCTCCCTAGCCCCGTGCTCACTTGTCACAGAGTCACAGCACTGCTGCTCAACCTAAGCCTCCCGTCACTTGCTGCCAGGGGAAGATGCCTTCAGGCAGTTCTATAGAGGGGTAGTGTGAAAAGTGCATATTATCTGCCTCTACGCAGATAAGCCTCCCGTCACTTGCTGCCAGGGGAAGATGCCTTCAGGCAGTTCTACAAAGGGTAGTGTGAAAAGTGCATATTATCTGGCTCTGCGCAGGTATTTACTATATGTACTCTGTTGTATTGATTAGTAGTGCTGTATTAACATTTTAATAGGATGGTAAATGTAGTTTTGTAGTTAAAATAGAAACTATGTACGTGGGATATTTTTTTAAAGAGAGGAATGTGGTACTTGCAATGAGACAGCAGCCACAGGACACCTAAATTTTTCAAAGAAGAATTTATTGCTCCTTTATCAGAAGAAACTAACTTCTTCCTGCCTTGCTCAGCCCTGAAGATGCCATCAGGATGAAGAGGAAAAGCTGACACTGACCAGACGGAGTTCTTTGTTTGAATGGAATTTATGCATCATGTATGAGATGTATGAACATGCAACAGGCTGTTGCTTTGAAGGGTTAATCCTCTGTTAACGTGTGGAGTTTTTGGAGCTTATTTTGCCAAGAAAGAGATACCCGGACTGTCCATAACCAACAGGCTGTTGCTTTGAAGGGTTAATCCTCTGTTAACGTGTGTCCTTTTTTGGAGCTTATTTTGCCAAGAAAGAGGTACCCGGACTGTCCATAATTCTTTATCGTCTCGTATCATCCTAATCCTAATTGTCCAAAATTTTATTACGCTAATTTTATTACTATTTTAATAACCATTTTATTACTACTAAACTTCTGCAATTTTAAAAACAAGAGACTGTCATTTTTCACAGGCAGGGTCAGCCGGGAGCCTCCTTTTCTCCAGACTAAACACCCTCAGCTTCCCCAGCAGCTCTGCACAGGATGTGTGCTCCTGACCTTTCCCCAGCTCTGCTGCCTTCCTCTGAACACGCTCCAGCCCCTCCACGTCCTTCCTGATGTGAAAAAAGAATATGATTCGTGCTAACAAATGTAACCATATCAATATTTTTTCAAAGAAGAATTTATTGCTCCTTTATCAGAAGAAACTAACTTCTTCCTGCCTTGCTCAGCCCTGAAGATGCCATCAGGATGAAGAGGAAAAGCTGACACTGACCAGACGGAGTTCTTTGTTTGAATGGAATTTATGCATCATGTATGAGATGTATGAACATGCAACAGGCTGTTGCTTTGAAGGGTTAATCCTCTGTTAACGTGTGTCCTTTTTTGGAGCTTATTTTGCCAAGAAAGAGGTACCCGGACTGTCCATAATTCTTTATCGTCTCGTATCATCCTAATCCTAATTGTCCAAAATTTTATTACGCTAATTTTATTACTATTTTAATAACCATTTTATTACTATTAAACTTCTACAATTTTAAAAACAAGAGATTGTCATTTTTCACAGGCAGGGTCAGCTGGGAGCCTTCTTTTCTCCAGACTAAACACCCTCAGCTTCCCCAGCAGCTCTGCACAGGATGTGTGCTCCTGACCTTTCCCCAGCTCTGCTGCCTTCCTCTGAACACGCTCCAGCCCCTCCACGTCCTTCCTGATGTGAAAAAAGAATATGATTCGTGCTAACAAATGTAACCATATCAATATTTTGGAAAGTATTTGTTAAAAAGCAACAGAGGAAAAGGATATAGAATTAGTGTCACAAAACAGATGTTTTCAGATGTTCATGAAAAAATAGGATACAGGATGGAGTACTGAGATAAGCAATATCCCAAAAAGGATCCCAGCCTCAGAATAATTAAGGGATCAGCCTTGAAATGCACAAAATTGGGATGATTCCAGGTATCTATGAAATAGTAAGGCTTATTTTTTGAATATAATGCTGGCTTCTATAACACGAGACTTGGGGTACATGTGCAACCTGAGGGGTTGTTCAAAGGACAGCGAGGATGATGAGAAGCCTTCACCAGAAGCGACCACCGAAGAGCCAAGAAGGCCCCTTGGAAACAAGTGGAGCATGTGCTATGCAGGACAGTGATGGAGATTTCAAGAATTGAAAATAGGAGGAGATTTATGGGAAAATATTGATGAATATGTATTAGCATACAGTATGTAAGTTGTGTTTGGATTCCTTTGTTTTTTGGTAGGAGAGGCAGGGTGAGAAATCCCCCACTAAGCCTGGTCGGGTTTGTACCCTGGTCTGTTTTGCTTATGCCTTATCAGAACCTTAATCAGACTTAAATAATCACTGCCAAATTTACTTTGCACATGCTTACCTGATTGTATTAATTTTATATAAAATTGCTACTCAATTAAAACTGCTGTTAAATTCTAATTTTGTGGTTTATTAAATTAGACATATAGGACCTCATTCATAACACTGATTTTAAGGGCCCAAAACTGAGCACAGGATTTGAGGTGTGGCCTCACCAGGGTCAAGTACAGGGTACAATCACTGCCCTGGTCCTGCTGGCCACACTTTTGCTGATCCAGGTGTGAGAAATGAACTCCACTTTTCAAAATTTTTAAAAGTTTAATAAGGGATAAAAGGGACAAATCAATAACAGTGCTGGGTGCTTGGCTATGGCCAGAGGCACATCAGCTAACCATAATAACTCTCCTTATATGCTTTTTATATTGCATTGGCCAAATACATATTCATAAAGATTATACTTGTTCAAACATTTCTTTGAACTCGTTTACATGTTCTGGGAATTCTTTAGCTTGCTTCGACCCCGACCCACCTTTTTAGAGTACATGCAGTAATCGTGGATGTGGTTTTGAGGGCTGTGTGTCACCTCCTCACAACAGCCCCATTCTGTTTCAGCAGGTGAGAATTATTGACAGTCAGCAGCAGGGATCCTCATCCCATCCATTCCTTAAAAGTTATCTGACCATGCAGACTGTTTTGGCTATTTCCACAAGTACTTTAAATCAACATTAGCTATTTCACAAATATATTTTGAGTTATTCTCATTATTGTCAGTTATTTACAAAAATAAAAGTATTTGTTATTATTTCACTACTACAGCTACTTCTGCAAAAGTTAACGTTGTAATGCACAACACAGCATCCACTTTAATAATTTGCAAAAGCCAATTAGTGAAAGCCAACAACTACATGGTTATTTAACACCGAGACAGCAAAGGCAGAGAACAAAATACCATAAAAGGAGAATACATTTATGGTATTTTCTGTAAGTTCTCTAAGTCTAGAGTGGCATCAGAAGACCACCCTGGACTGCCTCCCTGAGGGACCCTTGGAGACTGTAGCTGTGGACTATGCAATGCTGTGACAGCCTGAGGCAGAGTTGTAAACAGGCCCCAAGAAATGTGCAAATCATCTGGTGAAGTAATGCAACTGCAGCAGTATAAAGGACTGCTTGCTAAAGAACTGGGTGTGCTTCTGGCTGTTGCCACACACAGAGCACTGTGCTTTGTTGATCTGTCCCTTGTTATCCCTTATTAAACTCTTAACGTTTGGAAGAGTGGGCTTTGTTTCTCACACAGGCCAGGATGCCACTGGCCTTCTTGGCCACCGGGGCAGACTCATGTTCAGCTGCTGTCAACCATCACCTCCAGATCCTTTTCTGCTGGGCATCCTTCCAGACTCTTCCCCCAGCCTGAAGGGCTGCCTGGGGTTGTTGTGACCCAAGTGCAGGACCTGGCACTTGGTCTTGCTGAACCTCCTCCAGCGAGCTCATCAGCCACATCAATAGGCATATTCTGGCTCATCAGGAGGCTACACCAAACACAACATGGAGCTTTTCAGATCGGTTCCCTTTATCAGCTAGATCAGCTTTGGCTTTCCAGCACTACTGGCATCATTTCAGCTGTTTCCCAAATCCCTTTGCATCTGCCCAGATGCAGCATATAGGAGCTAAGATCAAGCCGTGTCCAGGCTTGCCATTAGATTATATCTATTAGCCAAATACTGCTACACAATTCCAATTCCCAGATCTATTACCTAGATTATACTCAAATGAGTCAACGTGATTCAAGCACCCACAGGTGCATAAATCTTAAACTAGTACAATCTTCCTAACAGAAGTATGTTCTTCAACACAGGAAAAATTCTCTGTGGAGAATTTCCAAAGTCCAAAACCCTTGTGAGCTCTTCCTCCAAACTGTTCCACTATCAAGTCATACAGTTCTGTGACAGAGCTGGAAATTAATGCTCAGTGCATTTTTGGCAAAAAAAAAAAATAAAAAAATCAGTTAATAAGCTCCAGTGCAGTTTCTTTTATACTTACACTGTAAGTGATCTTCAGCTGTCTTTGCATTTGTATGCTTATCTTGGGTGTTAGTACTTATTACCATGGAGCCCTTGTACATCCTCACATCCCTACTGTCCCTCCATAGGGATCAGCTTGCTCACTGTAAGAGCTGTGATTCACATCTCAATGCAACTAATTCCCATCAGGTACCCTTCATTTATGATGCCCCTGACAAGCTGATGAGAGGTCCCAGAGGAGTCATTCCACAGGTGCTTGGAGTACTTCACTTGGAATATCTTCAGCTGTTTTTCCATCAGTGCTTGTGCTCAGTGCTTCTACACACTGCTCTGCTAAAGCACGGGTGACACGAGGGGCTGTGCTGAGAAATGTCCCCATCTGTGAGCTGTGACAAGCAGAGGAACGGTAAGCAGAGCAGAGAGAGAGCCCAGGTGAGCACTCCTGTGGTCATTACCTGCAGAGGATACTTGCAGGACACCCTCAGCAGAAGATTCTAACAATACTACAGAAGCAGGCAGAAATCACACCGTGTAAGGTCATTTTTGCATGGATAGTTATGATCTCTGGTCTGGAGGAGGAACATGAAGCAGCACCAACCTGGAGACAGACCTGATAAACCCAGCTAGCCAAAAAGCCCTGTCTCATATGCACGCCTTGTGTGACATCTACACTCACAGCAGGCTCTCCCATAGCTGCAGACCACATGGAGCAAGTAAGTGCTGCCTCTTTTGAACCATCAGGTCTGTCTTCCTGCATTAAGAAACAGGGCTCTTCCTCACCAGCCCAGTATCATTAATTCCTACCACTGATCTGGAATATATCATCAACAGCAGTAAAATATCCTGTCTTCCACACCCCACCCCGATGCTTTAAAAACATTCCCATCTTCTTTTCCACATTCAAGTCAAGCAGGAACATAAATGTTTTCTGCATCTTCATTTCTTTAAAAGGCTAATACCATTCCTGGATTACCTGTGGGTTTTGTCATACACTTTGGCATGTCTCTGGTTAATACTGAAGGACGATATCCCAAGGCATATTCCCTCTGAGGAGAGACAGATCTTCAACGAAGCAAAAAGCAACTGGGCTGAGTGCTGTCTTCAGCTCACACATGGGCTGCAGTTACAGAGGGGCTGATCAAGGCAAGAGTGGGTGGCTCTGACCTTCTGAAGAGGCACTGCACCAACACTGGGGTAACCCCACTCTTCCACATTTACCCCTGAAGATGGGTGGTGAAAGCCCACACAAACCCAGAGTGCGATGACAGGGACCAAAGCCGAGGAGAGGTCTCCTTGCTGGATGTTCCAAACTCTCAAACAGAGCTGAGAGAGAGATCTGAGGTTTCACTGTAAGCAGAATGGTTCACAGGTCTGTTATCCCTGTGGAAGGTCCACTTTTAACAGGCTGAAACTCCTTATGTATGACGAAACTTGAAAAATTTAAGAGCATCAAGTGTTGCTGTACAATTCCATGACTTTTAAGCTTGAAGTATACAAAACAAACAAAAACCCCTCCACTCAGGGCCACAGATACCATGTTTGTCCACAGTTACACAGCACAGATACAACCCAATTAAAATAGAACCCTAAGCCATGTGTGCATAAGACATCCACTGCCTCTTGGCCTCAGGGCTGAGAACTGCTTCCTGCTTATCCTTCATTTTGCAGTATAGGCTTGGACATAACCAGGCCAAGACCTTCATTTGTTCCAACCATTTCTCTGCAAACCCCCACAGGAGCAGAGTGACATGGTGAGCACTGAGGCATATGGAAGTGGAATCTGGGATACCAACCACACAATTAACACATGAATAGCAGATGGTTCTTCCAAAACTCATTTATCACGGAAGAAAGATGCAGGTACAAGACTCATGTTTACCTTCTCTAACAAAGGTACTTTGACTTCAAGCCAACCACTTTATCCCATAAATAACAGCCTGAGTGAACCCTTTTTTAGCTCTCATGTTATTCAGCTGGCTGTATGGCAGGGATTTCCCTGTAAGCTGGGATACTCTCAGTGTTACTCCTCGAGGCTGAGACACACCTGATCAGCTGCAGGTTTCTGGTAAGTGACCAACATCGTACACAGTCTTTTATTACGGTGCCACTAGATTTTGTATGGGTAACTTTAAATCATTATCATATCCTCTGCAATAACAGAAGAAACTTTACTATCAAACTTTGTTAAGTCTTACTTTTGCAACATTTTCAATAAAACCATTTTTTTTGAAACCTTTGGCAGTGGTTCTTCAAGTGTCTGAATTGCTCACCTGCGCCACCTCCTTGCTTGCCCAAGGCTCCAACACATTGAAAAGCCACACACCTGCACAGCCATCCCTTGCTCCATTTCAGAGTCACCTCCTGCATCTGCACTCGTCTCCTAATGCAGCTTGTTTCCTTCTTACCAACAAACCATGTGGTAAGCAATTCTGTGGCCCACCTGTCCCATACACAATATGGCACTGAGATGAGGTACATTGGATTTCTCAAGGATTTCTCTGCGTGTCACAAACGTGGAGAGGGGTGCAATCCAACAAAACCCAGTCATTTCTCTTCTGCTGCAGCAGGACTTGTCCAGCTCATTTTGTAGCACAAACACAGCTCTGCAGAACTGTTCTGTTTAATTCTCTGTTCACGACTATCTGTCCCACCAGATGCAACAGGCTTAGGGGTATTTTAACAATTCCTAGTGCCCAGAAAGGCATAATGAATTAATATGAAATTCATAATGAAGTTCAGAAACCTGAGTTTTGCTAACTCAGCACTGTGGAGGGGCACAGAAAGCACCAAGGAACTGTTGCTCTCATCAGTCGTGTCTCTGCTGCAGCTGGCATGGAGCAGGAATTCTTCCAGTACACTATGAACTTTGCTTGTGGATTAGAAGCAGGGAGGAGGAAGACCAGGAGAACAGAAATTATCTAGGAAAGGCTTGATGTCTGTTCTTAGGACAAACAGTTCTATTTCTGTGAACTACAAAAGTGGCATTTAAATGTAAATTTAAAAAATCATCAGGTGAAAGGCATTTTAGTTGAATGCAATTAGCACCACGGACTTGCGGGCTGTTCGCTGAGCAGTCATCTCTTCCAGCGTATAAATTCCCAGGTACAAGATGTGTTGACAGTAGGAAACACATTTTGCCTATAAGGTTTTTTTCCTGCACTTCTGAACTCCACAGTGACAGGAAATCTCTGTCTCTGGCATGCTTCCAGCTTCATAACCATAATCCCAGGTGAGTTCGGTTCCAGCTTTCACATGTCTAAGGAATAAACCAGTTAATTTGCTTGAACTAAGTAAAACAGGACTGTGCTGACAATTTGTCACCAACATCCCACATGCAAATCCAAAAACTGTAGGGGGCAGGGAGCATCACACAGTTTGCTTGATGGGAAGGAAACAAGGCATACAAGGAGTCACTCGTGTTCCTTTGGCTATGGAAATTGCAAAGAGGGTTGGAGTCTAAACAATGTGCTCTAACTTAGAAGGGAATTCTGGGAAACAAAAATTAAAAAAAACCAAACAACCCACCAAAACCAAAGCCAACCAAACAAAAAACCAAAAATGAAACAATAAACAAACAAACCCCATCAAAACAAAAAACCAAAAAAAAACCCAAACAAACAAACAAACAGAAAAAGGAAAACCACATAAGTAATACATCTAAATGAATAACAGTTTTGTTGTTTTTCCTATGTATAGTGCCTCACTGAAGTTTGAACAGATCTCTACATATGTTGTTGAAGACTGTTATCTTTGGTCTGACAGGTTACCTTTTAATGCAATTGCACTATGTGCACAAAGCCCAAAACCCAGAATTAAACACATGCTCCTCGTGAACCAGCTGCTCTGGTAGTAAAATAGAAGAAATGTCTAAGACAGGAAATTCATTGTCCAAAACAAATGCCAAACTAAATACCTGACATTATGATGCTGAGGAACAACTGATTGAAAATGTAAGAAAATATGAATATTGTGATGAAGGGAGTAATTCTCTGATGTTTCTCACTGGATATGGTATAGAGAACATCCAGTGAATTCCTAGGCAGCTGACTGACAACAAACAATGAGGACTTTTCATACAGCACATAATTGCAGCCTGGGACTTGCTGACTTGAGACATGTAAAACCAATAAAAAGGTGACTGGGCAAGTTCAGGTAAGGCACACAATTAAGCTCAATGATCCAGATGAAGTCCTTAATTTAGAAAAGTTGTAAAAGAGTGGTGCCCAGAAAATGGAAGAGCCAGTGAGGTGAACTCTCCTTCAACAATCTTCTTCCCTAAGTCACTATTATCTCTCTCCAGTAGCCTCAATCCTCACTACACTTCTTTGCTGAGTACCTGAGCAAGAAAGACTAGTTAAAACAAAATCCTTTTCTGGATGTATTTCAACACATTGTCCTCACAGTTCCTGGAGACTCCCAGTGCAATCCACAGCATCTGTGTCAGTATGGAGCAGAGTTGCAAAGCTTCACAGAAGATCAGTGTTCTGTGGAACTGGTTTGTTAGCACAAAGTCTCCCCTCTCTGTACTGTTCTCACCTAGTTCTACTGCTGACATGCATGTCAGCCAACCTCATTCATACAATTCATCTCTCCTCTCCTGGGCTGAGCTGCTGCCATACTGTGTCTCGCTGGCACCAGCTGTCTGTACCTCTCTGTTAGACACTAAGGAAATATCTGCATCTTTTACTTTCAGAACAAATTTTCACCTCTGTGTATCCTATTATCACATGCCCAGGACATGCTGGGCTACACAAAGTTGTACTTGTCTTGACAGCTGTGAGGAAAAGAACTGAAATCATCTTGTTTGGCCCACAAAGTGTCTCAACCTTAATATCCTGTTTAATCCTGCCCTATGTGATGCACATCTGGTGGCCATTCCTTGAGACACAACAGTGGGATGAGTGGATCTTGGCTTTCCAAACGACCATGCTGAGTTACACCTATTTCTCCACTGAAGAAGATTATCACTGAAATGGACACACCAAAATTAACCTTCCCTACCTCACATTTCAGTGCAAAACTGAAGCGAAACTCACTAGTCATAACCAATCACTGTATTTCTTCTGCCTTTAGTGCAGTAAGAAGTCACCTATAAGAAGGTATTTTTGTACTTCTATGATCTAAGCATCTGCCCCACCCCAAGTGTACTTATGCTCTAATAAGTAAGCAGTGTTTTTTAACTTCTAGTGCCTTGAATGAACAACATTAAACTTCCAGAAATTCACCTGTTTGTGAAGAATGCCACCCATGGAAAACTTCTGTTGTGAGTTTCTACAAACACACTTTGTGCAAAGAGATTTGGGCAACAGCTGTGCTGTAAAACAGAAAATCTGGATTAGAAACAGTCCAACACCACACTGTTGACTGAAAAAACTATTTTGTGTCACATATCTGTCACCAGTAAAGGTAGTTTCTTCCTTCCCTTCTCGAGCCCACATGGAAAGTTTATCACCCAATGCCATTGCCAGGGCAGCAGTGCTAGGGAGCAAGCAATGGATTACATGACAGTGTGCTGGCCAAGCACAGGATGTGAAAGGTCACTCAGGTGCATGTAGGAACGTGTGTATGCTCATGGGAACAGAAGGAAGGTTTCTGCAAGATGCACTACTAATATTAACACCATAATACCTCTGGCAAGGAAGAACAGTTTAAGCATATGCAAGGGCTTTGCTGTAAGACATATTCATGCCAATGAAGAGAAATAAATTATTTGTGGAAGACATATTTATGCTAATGAAGAGAAATAAATTATTTGCAGCATACCTGCAGATGTGTCTATGAACTATTTGTCTTAGCTGGAGGTACTTGGCAATTGAACACTCGGTGTGACCCAACCTTCTGTCCTGTCACCAGATGGCAGAGAGCACCCACCACATGTGCCTCTCCTGGCATACACCCACCAACCATACTGTTTATGTGCAAAAATAAATTTTCTAGTTTAAGCTTAAATAAGTAAATGATGTATTTGCAGAGGCAACAAAGAGAACCCATGCAATTTAATACTTACATTTAGAAAACGACCCACATTTCCTTCTTTTGTGGCATCCAGTATATAAATATTTTCTTCATTAGTGTTCTTGGGAAGCATCTCATCACCCTCAGACTCCTCACAAAGTGCATCTTGTTTTGGCTGCCTGCTATTTCCTTTGCAGTCAGTGTTTAGGGGTGCATTGCTGGATGGCCTCACAACACATGTGTCATCCAGCACACTGGACTTGCCACAATCAACACTCTGCACTGACAGACTCTTGCATCCTGCACTCTCTACACCAGCAGAGTCAGTCTGTCCAATTTCCATCAGATGTTCTTCCTTCTGCTGCTGGGTGGATTCTGTCAATGGACATGTATGTTATTTCTCAACACCAGTTTAAGGCCAAACCCTTTCCCTTGTTTGGCCCCAAACTCTGAGCCACCCACTTTTCCCATATCCTCCAAAATCTAAGCAGCTTCCTTGCTATCTACAAGTCTATAACACAATTTGTCCATGTCTGTCATCAATCCTCCCACAAATGACTGTTTCCTGCTGTGATGCCTGAAGCACTTGCTCAAGGTGTCTCTGAGTGACCTAGAGTCTCACTCTTCTCAAATCCCATTCCAAACTGATTTCTCCCACAGAGCATTTTTTATCGTTCTCCACCTTAATTCCCAAGAGAACCACGAACTGTAATGAAGACAGAAGCAAGATGCATGTGCAAATAGCATCAGTTTCACACTGCCTCTCCAGCTTGATGTCTCCCCACCCCAGTATTACATCCTGTTCAATTTTTGTTGGCTGGAACAAGTACTGGGTGTGACACAGCAAGATCTGCAAGGCTGACCTTCCCACAACTCCACAGTATTTGAGAAGCTGCTGTCTGGACAGTTCAACATGTCTCAACATCTACGGACAACATTGTTCTACTTTAAGAACTGGCCTGCCCACACTGTCTACATTAAAGTCTATCACCTGATGGGACACAACTGTACAAAGCATGCAGTATATAGAACTCTGCAAACCTACTTTCTTTTCCTTTCTTTGTTCCACTGGTTAGTTTTGTTTTGCTTGACTGATGAATCTGACAGCTTTCATCTTCATCTGAGCTGGCACTGTGCACCTGTGTATCAAATGAAAAGGCTGTGATGTGCTGCATGCAACTCTGGGCCAAGAGGGCACAGCAAGTGGCTTTTACAACTCCAAGGCTGAAGTTTCAAAGCTATTGTAATGCAAAGCTGTGGCTGCATTTGAGAAGTTAGTACATTTACTGCAATGCAATATTTATCTTAATTTCAAATTGTCCTTCATAATAACCAGGAAAAGAGTCCCCCAGTCAGTAAGACATGCAAATAAGGGCTTAAGTCCCAACAATTTCACCAAGACTGTAAGTTGCTGAGCCAAATCCCAAACATGCTTTTTTTCACAGTTTCAATGAAATGACCAGATGTGGCAGAATTTCTCCTCTTCCATCACAAAAAGGCAATTAGCTACGGGACCTCTAGAATGGACAGCACTGTAAAATGTTTGCATAGAAATTCCATGTGCTTTACTTAAGGGCAATGAATCCAGTAAAACCTGCAGCATAAGTTTACACCAGTTTTCCTCCTTTGCACATGTTTGCAACTAACACTTCGCACTCATGAAAGGTCACATTCAGGTCAGTTCTTCCAACTCTGCCACTGCATGAGAAAACTGCATAGACATTGTGAAATTCCCTTCTCTCCCTGCTGTGCCATTCTTTGGGGAGACACCACAAAAATATTATCACTCTAACCCCTAATCTTGTACACAAGGGGTACAGGGGGAGAATAATTACTTCAGACTCTTGAGGAATGTAAATGAAAGGCAGAGAAGGGAAGGCCATGAGAGCAGATAGTGCTGGTCTGGGGGAACGTGCTGAAGGACTGATAATGGAGAGGGGATGGGGTGCAGCTTCCAGCATGACCGCCCAGCTCAGTGTGACACAATCTTATTAAGAAAGGTAATTAGAACTATCTAAACATACAAGATGAAAGTCAAAGTTACCATATATATTCAACACAGTGGAAAATGAATCTGTTAAAGCCACTGATTACCATTTTTAGCTGGTGATTGCAAAAAACAAGTGTTCTAGTTCCAGGCCTTCTCACAGTTGCATTATTTGAATTCTTTAGATGAACCCTGCACAGAAAGGTCAAAAGGAAATGATAAAAGACAAACAGACCCATAAGTAACTCCCACAACACACATTCCTCTAACAGTCTCTAGTTCCAGTCTCTTCTCTAGAAGGAACTACAGCAGAGCCTGCACTCTGGCCGCACCTCATGTTATGTGAGTATTTTCTTTTTAAGAACTGAGAACCTAGGCTAGGTTCTCTATTGCATTGTAAGAAAGCAGTTGCTCAAACTTTTTTGAGAGATCAGCAGCTGCTTTTACATCCTTTCCCAGCTGTCATGCTGAGAACCACATTGTCTGTTGCTTTACTATTATTATATCAGATTATCTCAAAATAGAGCACCTACAGAGTTTTGCCTTTTCCTGCTACTACTTTCAACAGTTTTGACAGTACAGCTTTCAACTAGGAAAACATATTCACTGCAAAAGTGAGGTGTTGTCAGACTCTTAACAGGAGAGGTTAAGGTTTCTGACAGGAAAGGTTTAGAGACTGGGAGCAAAGGGCAGAACAACTGGTGGCTAATGTGTTATCAAACCTTTCAGTGTCATCAAGTATCTTTAAACAATTTGTTTCAAGTCTATTTTATTAATTCTTTCAAATTAGCATTCCTATTAATGCCCTGAACAGATCAAGTACACCCAAGAGATGAACTGAATTTCTAGAAAATGCCAAGTAGTGTACATATGTAAAATTAATACAGAGGGAAAACTCTGTCCCACTAGAAGAAATAACTGGGAATTAAAAAAGTTCAGAATGAAAAAAACCACCACCCTCATATGAGGGTGGACATATGAGAACATACTCTTAAGTTATACAACAGAATTTCTAGATTAGCAGAATATTAATTTTGTTATGCTTAAGCTTACTTTGATAAACTTACAGAGTTGATTTATTTTCATTATCCACAGTGTGAGACAAAGATTCCTGATTCTCAAGAATGTCATTTTTGTCAGTCTGCACTAGTTCAATCACTGAGTCTGAACGAACAAGGTCAAGTTTTCTTTTTTTGGAAGAAAAGTCATGGCCTCTATCATTCACTGCACTTTTCTGCTTTAGCTCTTGCTCAGCATCTCCCAAAACTTCAGCTCTGCTCATTAATCTGCCTGAAAGAAAAAGAAAAGTTTTCTTGTTTTTTGGGTTTTTTTCAATGCTTGTTAGCTGAGTCACACTCACTATGACAGGTCAAACTTACATTAACAAATATTAACAAAAATTCCCAAGCATTACTTGGGAAAGCAAAATATGAATACTGTCTAGAATTCTATTATGTCAATATAGGCTGAAGTACAAACTGAATTAGAGAAGGGCATGTAGTAACAAGACAAAGGACAATGGCTTTAAACTGAAAGAGAGCCCATCTAGATTAGATATTAGTAAGAACTTCATTGTGAAGGTGGGAGGCACTGGCACAAGTGGCCCAGAGAAGCTGTGAGAGCCCCATCTCAAAGTGTTCAAGGTCACTTTGGTGGGGTCCTGAGCCACCTGGTCTAGTGAAAGGTGTCCCTGCCCATGGATGTTTTTTAAGGTCTCTTCCAACCCAAACCATTCTATGATTTTATGATTTTTACCACAGGAAACTTAGCCCTGGCACAGAATGCAGAGATTTGTGAGGGAAAAAGTCAGCAGTCTGAGATAGGTTTTGCTCCATTTCTTTGTCTGTCACAATCTCACAGCAGTGCTTTTCAAAGTTCTTATTCATATTGATCATATTGCAAGTTAAGATTACATTGATACACTTCTCTTCCAGCCATGTATCTCCCCATTCTCAAAAAAAAATCCAGGACACACACCATGGGAGAGGAAGAATTAGGCTACACATGCTCTCAGGTCCCCTCCTGTTACCTGAGTAAGTACAAACAAATGTCCCCTTGTCGATGTCATCCAGGCAGCGGACACCCCAGCCCTTCTTCTCTGTGTTGAACACTTGCAGCCTGACTTGAATGCCATGCTGTACAACTCTGTTCTGACACATCAGCTTGTCACACCTGCACAGCACACTACACTCATAAATCCTGTCAAGAGAAGAAAAACAAAGCACAATATAAATGGATGCATTAGCATAACGAAGTTCCTGTTATTAATTCCCCTTCTAAGCATAAACAAGGCACTGGACTAAAATATAAAGACTGCCTAAAACTGGTTGTGCAGCAATGTTTTGAAGCTTGTGACTTTCTTGACTGCTGGTTCATTAATTTTAAGAGTCTGTCTGCCAGATTTTGGCATAAGTATACATAAGATTACATACATTTTCGCATAAGAAAAACAAACGCTATATTTTTGTTTAATAGGACTAAATCACACAGAAACATAAATCCCTAAGAAGCACCTAATTCTACACTGGAACTGATTTTAGCAAGACAACATATGCCTGGACTTCACTGTAGCTGTCCATGCTAATGAAGCATTTCCAAAAGGACTAATAATTGTGGGTTTTTGGGGTTTTTTTGATCTGTTTCTGGGTTCTCTGACAATTTTAATTCTGCATGTCAGTCAAAAACTAACATTACCCAGAGGACTGAAAGGGGCTCCTCAAGCCTACAGATTCAAGCCTTTGGCTGTTGCAGAAAGCTACCTTGCGTAATTCCTCTCCTAGACACCTGAAGTAACTGGCATCTTCTCCAGGCCACCTATTAATCCACAGGAGCTGAATAAGAGAAAGGGCAAACACTTGAAGCATTGGATGGCTTTGGAGATTCATGGAAGAGTCACTTATAAGCAAGTCTGGCAAAAGCAGCTGGCTGATGTGTCTTTAGGATTCTGGTCACTCTTCACACTTCTCCTGACCTAAGCTGTGAAAACTGTAGGATCTGCAATACAAAAGTTTTTTTTCCCTCCTTTTATTCAAGTCATAAACTGTAGGATCTGCAATACAAAAGTTTTTTTTTTTTTCCTCCTTTTATTCAAGTCACATTAATTGTTTTTATCATTCTGATCTATCACTAAAATTGTGACAAAAATCAAAGGTTTCAGTAATCAAAGAACTCCAGTTGTTTTAATCCTGTGGCAGTTAGACTGAACTATTAACTGCTGTTTTATTTGTATGCTCTTATTTTACTCCTGTAGTCTTTCTTACCCACTAGGAACAGGTCCCTCCAGTCTCTTGTAACGGTATCCACGGGGTCTTTTACTACTTGGAGACAGAGAAATTTTACTACAGCCTCTTGCTGTTAGCTGTAGGCATGCACATTTTGACCTAAAAATAAGAGTAAAACATCTCACAATGGATTTGAAGCAGTATAAATCAATGACAAATGCAGGTAATTTGAAATGCACTTGACTATACACACACATACACACACTTCCATATATACACCTGTATTTCCCTCCCTGCTCCGTTTACTCCACAAGGCTGCTTCAGGCACCTTTTTCCTTAGTCTCTTGGCTGGTTACCTGTGCTTTACAATAACCATGTTCTCTCCACCCCAACCCCATTCTTCTGCCAAGCTCCTTAAATGGCACATGCAAACAGCTGAAGTACAACAGAAACTTACTATAGGCAGCGCACTGTCAAATGGATTGAATGAATAAAAATCACCTCTTCTGGCACAGCATCCCAGCCTGTTTGCCACTATTCAGTTATCTTCCTCCCTCCTTAGCCCCCAGGAAATGAAGAATTTTAGACTGTGGAAAATTCAAGCAACAGTGCTTGTCTGCACCACTGTATGTCATGACAACTTCAAAGAGTCACAGTGATTGCGCAAATCCTAAACCCCAAAACTGCACATCAAAAGCATCTCAATTCTTGTGGGACTTTAGTGCAAAGAAGTGGCACACTGTGTGCTTGCTGTTTTTCACCACTCAGCTGAAACTAAATTATTAAAATTAAGTTTCATTATACCAGGCTGTGATTTCAAGCTTTTGTTGGCTCATGAGCAACTATGTTGCACAGCAGCATGCACAACTGTCCTAGCTTTCAATAATACAAAACGGATGCAACACCAAGTAATGCCTACAGAGAGAGATCAGACAAACATCCTTCAAGAAAGCGGACAAAAAATACCACCAAACTTGCATATGGTAACTGTGGCAGGTTTCCACAGTGTCTGTACCTCAGGGTTACTGGGATTTAGAAAAAGCTGACAATAAGCAAGAGTATTGGAACTGCTCAGAGCACAAATGCGCTGTGTAACCACTGAGTTTTGTAGTTTCTGTTTAGACAAGGGAAAGGACGACATGTAGACGTCAGAAACAGGGACGTTTCTTTGTCTGCCCTCAGTAATTCTCTGAGTTCCAAATGATCTGATCCCTCAAGGCTGTCCCACCCCATCTACAGGATGCCATTTAACAGTAGGAACTGCAGCAGAAATTGTCAGGCAGGATCCTTCCCTGCCTGCCATGAAAACAAGCTTGCCTCTGCTGGCACAAGACTCCCTTCCCTACTCTTTTTCCAAAGCCAAGATATCTGCTTGTCAGCTCCACCTGGAGAAGAAGCACTGCCAGTTTGGAAGAAAGGAAAATAAACACAATAATCTGCCTGTCAATCACTTCCTTCCCTACAACAGAGGGTGGACCACCACCAGTTGGAGCACCCAAGCTCTGGAGAAGACAAAGACACAGTGGTGTCAGTCAACACAAAGCATGGCACAAGATATTCCAGCAGCGATATTCCTGTTTGGTACCGTGTCTCCACACCCCACCACCCTGCTACGGAGGCATTGTGTGTCACTGGCCTGAGATGAGATCTTTCTACCTACTTATCGATGCAGCCATCTGTGCAGTCACAGGAATCAACAAACAGGCTGGAGAGATTGTTGAGGTAATATCCACGTGGCCACGACGACTTCCGATACTTGAAATAAGGCAACCTTGCGTGGTCGAGGTTGTTACAGAAGGAGATGGGCACAGACTCGGCTCCGTCGCTAATATCGAACTCGAACACGAGGGGCTCGGGATTCATGGTGTTCCTGCCCAACAGCACATAGGTGTTGAAGGAGAAGTGATCAACAAATAAGAAATTGCACTCTGTTTCAAACAAGTAGTTTCGCACATCTCGAAAGCTCCTCAGACTCCGACCACAAGGAGCTTTGTAGTTCACATCCAGCGGCTTTGAAAGGCAGTCTGCTTTTGCATGGCGTCTTTGGAAGTCAAACAGGATTGGGATCTTCAGAGGATTTTCACCCTTGTAGGAATCCACTGCTCTGTTGGCAAGACATGCACTAGAGCACTTGTGGTTCTGATACTGCACATTTAAAGGTAAACCTCGAATTTTCCTAGATGTTTCTTTACTCCCTGAGCAGGTTCTTTCCGTGTCCTCTTTTTCACTATTTGAAGAGGGAAAAAAAAATAGAAGAGCAGCATCTTAGACAACCAGTGCTGTGTTCAGTTTTTTAGCAGTTCAGTATTTTTAGCCCTATTGCTAGAAGGACCAAGGTTTCACATGGTGAAACATTGTTTTAACAACATATAAAGCCATATTCAGTTGCATAAAAAAAAGCTTCTTCCCAGAACTTACATGCTAAAACACAGCAAGGAAATTGTAAAAAAAAAAGAAACTATGTATTTACCCCCATCTTTCAAAGCAGTACCTGAGGTTAAATACTAAACACAGAGAGACTAAGTTACACACCTGATAATCTGCACACTAAGGAAAGCCTGAGAACTGATGCTTAAATCCTAATCCTGATAACACAACCACGCCCTATTCTGCAACATTCTCTGCAATGTGGGAAATTAGACAAGTCTATCCAAAACCTCAGGTTTTCCACATAGGTTAAGTTAAAAACATTTTCACTTTGAAAACTCGCAGGATTCAAATCGGGATTAAAACACTGACTTTCGAAATACAGATTTTAGAACTCTCTTAACTGCAGTAGAAAATATGTCAAATAAGGAACTGAAATGAAGGCACTGACCTGTCAGAAGCTTCTACAGTCTCTACGGCATTGTCATCTGGCAGAAGAGGCTGCAGTTTGGGTTTGGTTTCCTGTGCACCATCTCCATTCAACTCATCACTTACTGAAAAAAATGGAATGTGAGCAAAATCTTCATCAAACAGATTTCAATTTATGATTGAATTTACTTTAGTTACTAAAGAGATAATTAACAAAACACATTACAAACAAGGCATTGCTATGAACTACAGCTACCAAAAAGCTTGTTAGCAAGTGTCCTACTGAAAAATCTTCCATGTGGTTTTCAAAGTGACCAGAAAGAGCACGTACACAAAACACATTTACAGATCTCCCTTCATTGTTAGAGATAAAAGATGCCAAGCTATTACAGCCAGTGGAGCCATGCACAGGATCACTGCTCACAGACAGCCTGGGTTCATAAGGGCTTACTAGCTCAAATTCTTTTCTTGTGATACAAGTATTATATGTATATACACAAACCACAAAAATACAAACCCAGGTGAGAGTTCACAGTTCAGTACTTGAGGAAATGAATTATTAGGTTTTCCTCATTGCAATGCTAATGACCTTCTCAGATCTAATTTATTGATTTCAAGGAAGGGAATTGAGCTTCTAGCGAGTAAACCAAGACAAATTAAATCCACATACCAAACAAACACAATGGAAATGCACATACCATTTGCCAAGGTTAAGAGATCACCTAGATTAGCTTCATTCACCAGTGCCCAAGCCTGCCAGCATTCTATGCAAAAAACCAAACCAAAAGAGATACCAAGTTGGATTTCAGTGATGCTAATAGGCAAAACAAGGTGTTAAATCCTCCACAGACACTTGTTTCTCCTCACTTGCTCCATCACAAGACTGACACTACTAGAAATGTGCTGCACCACAGGCCTGAGCAGACACATCCAGGAATTACAAAATTGTTACAGCTCAGAGCAGTAGTTGTGAATTGGCACTGAATATCTGTCAGCTTTTGGGAAGCTGCTGGAATGTTTCCAAACACACAAACTGGTGGCCTACAGTGGCAGCAATGTATATCAAGACAATTTAGTGTAAGCTTCTACTTTGGTCATCGAACTGATCATCTTCAGGCTAGGAAGTGCTGGAACTTGGCAGAACAAATTAATGCTACTTCTGAATTGGTAGAAATGGCCTTCAGATAGAAGAATGCAAGAGACCTGTTCTGTCTCAACCTCTTACCCCATGCAATAAATACTACAAGCTGGCAAACAAATCTCAGCAAAATCCACTTTAATATTTTAGCTTGAAACTTTTACAGAACAAAGCACAGAAAAATTCAAACTGAACTTTATCACAGATTCATTGCATCATCTGGGGATTCAAGTTCAACTTTTATCTCTGCACTGCTTTGATATTTTGTTGTAACAGTCAAGATTTGGGAGCTCAAAAACACAAAAAATTGCACTTCCAGTTTAGAGGAAGTATTATATACATAATGCAGAGTGTGTGGCTATATTACTTTAAAAGCTTCTGTACACCACTGTACATTTTCTTGCACAAAAAAACCTCAATTAAATCCATAGATTACATTTATATGGTTGACTTAACAAAAAGAAGCAATTTTACTCCATTAAATAAACCAGTAAAAAGAAATCTGTGTACTGCTCCAAGCTTATCAGAATTATGATTTTAGTGTATTTTGATGTAGACAGAGGAAGCTTATTTCCTTGAAAATTTGGTCCAATCTGAAATGCATTAGTGTCACATTTTTCTACTATTGTTTCATGTTATAATGGTGTCTCTGACAAAAAAATAATACTGAGGTGGTTATTATCCTACCCCAAAACCACTCAATTCACTGACAACAGCTTGAAAGGCTGAAACTTCTGATGATACATGAAACACAAGGCCCTACAGATATTTCATTACTTCTCAAACATGAATATTTCAGTTCCATGTGCTTAAGAGCCATTCATTGTTGAAAAAGTATACAAGGAAAACAAGAAAATAACCAATTGTACCTGAAATTATGTTTCTTTTTTAAAAAAGAAAAAACATTTTTTTAAAGTACTTAAAACCACCAACAGCTAAGTTATTAAAATTCAGAGACATCTGGATGATGGCAGACATCACACAGACCTACACAATGCAGGCCACAGCTACTCTGCAGTCCAGTTTGACCACCACAAGGATTTCAAACCTTGGTTTGTTGCAGTTCCATTCTTGATCTTTTCCTTCAGCAACGACAGCACGTTTTGCAGCTGCTCAAATATGACATCCACTCTTCTGCCTCCCAATTGTGTCCAAAATGTCCTCACATCACCTGAAATGCAAATTACCATTTACAGCTCCTGAGAACTCTAAAAACATGCCTAACTCCTAGTGAACTATTCAAAGGCTCCCACTCATTTAATTTGGAGGCACTTCCAAAAAAACAATCAGTACAGCAGGATTTCTTAAACCACCAGAAATCTATTCCTAAACCTAATCACGAAAGTGAAACAGAAGTCAAGTGATGAACTGGAGTGGCTTTCAATGGTCCACAATGCTCCTTCATGCAACTTCTTAAGCAGGTCACAAAAGGAGCTGTGGAAGCCTTTCTTCAGAGACCAGCAAAGGAGTCCCACTAAAAACTAATCACTGAAACTCACAAAAGTGACACAGGAGAATATTTTCAACTGAATGAATTTAATATTTTGCTTGACAAAAGACACTGGGATTTTTTTTAATAGCTATAGCCTCTCTTAGCTGCATAGGCTGACTATCCTGTCCCATCATTAGGTTTGGTATGTTTTGTCAGGGAAAAAACTTTCAAAATACTTTGATATAAAAGCAGTTTGATGAATTTTGTTCAACAAGGGGTATCAGTTGAAATAACTAACACAGCCCATATATCACGGCTCCTTCCTCTACTAGAAATATTTAGAAAGAACATTTTGTTTACATAAATGTTTTTTAAGCTACTGGTTTAGAACCTTTGAGATGCTAAGCCCATTCATGAAGGTGCTCATTAAAACTTTAGCTGTGCATTTTTGTCAAGGACCAAAAAGGAAATATGTTTCAGTGTGTCAAAAGACAATGGCAGAAGAAAGAACCAGCTCTTTCTCAGTTAATGTTGTTCTTCTTCAATGACCAAGCACAAAAGCATAAGCAAATCTGTTTTCCTACTCCATTTCTAGAGGTGGAGTCCACTGTCAGCACACTAGGTTTTACATTCCACTTTCAGACAGAAAAACTCTGTTGGCAAATGTGCTGGGATGATGCCATCGCAGCAGTCAAGAAATACTGCATTCTTGTCAGGCTCATAAAAAATATTCCTTCATTTTTTGACTTGGTAGAGAATGACTTCTGGCACCCAGGGTGCCAGAAGCCCAGTGATGCCATGGCAGTGTGGTTACTCTCAAAAGCACCAAGACAGCAGTGAAAGAAGCAACAATGTTTTGTCACCACAACTCCTGCTGCTCGTGCCACCAGCAGCTAAAGGCATAATACTTAATATCAACAGGCAATGATAAAAGTACTTTTTTCTTGTGAAACAGCTTGATTTGGCACTAACTCTCAACAAAATGTAATGATCTCTTATATTAACAGAAATTTTTTTGAATATGTGGAAAGCTTAAAGTTCCAATTACAGAAAAAGTCACAACAATTTTTGGAAACCTGCACTACTGGTCCAAGGGACACCACCTGCCCTGTGCTATTCCCACCCTTCTGCTGTGCATGACAGTATCACAAACTTAAAATAACAAAAAGTGTATTTAATATTTGTGTTTAAAATAAAAATTTAAAAATACATTCAATTAAAAATATGCATTTTTGAACTTCTAGAAGTAAGTTTTTCCACTGCAGATTAAAACTGCTGTCCTTGTTCATTACATGTTCTCAAATATTTCCATGCATTGACTGAATCTGGATAGCACTGGTGCATGGATTAATTCAAAGGATGGGTGACAGAACAGCTTCTTGTTTCTGGGCCCTCAGCTATAATAATGGGTAGGCCATAGGGAAATGAAACACTCACCTTGGAAATGCCTCCCCAGTTCTCATGCTGGAGTGCCCCAAAACTCCAGCAGCAAAAGCTTTGTTTTGCACGGAGAAGCAAAGTGCATTTTTGTTCATAGTATAATTTTCATTTCAAAAAAGGGAGATGTCCACACCACTAACCTCTCCAGTGCTAATGCTACTATCACCAACCACAGCCATAAGGACAGGGAATGATCAGACACCAGATACATCTACCTTTGTCAGCATTCAGAACCATCTCTCCAGCTGATGGATCAGGGTGTGCACTGGCATCTGGCTGGAGGGATTTTCTTTTCCCTTCATAGAATCCTTGGGACCACGTATCTCTTTTTTTTCCCCAGCCTTGTGCAGGGGAATGATGCTAGAGCAAGCAACAAGCAGGCAAGGTCAGGGCTACTTACTCCAGCCACCAGATAAACAACCTGGGTGCGTGTTTCCTGCAAACCTCTTACACCATAAAAGGCAAAACTGTTGTCTTCCAGTAGTAATTTTCATATCAGAAGCAGTGCCAAATATACACTCCACCTTCCCTTCATAAATCCAGATTATACTACCTTCAGGACTCTCTTCCCTGGAACTGGTAAGATTCTCCTCTTCAAAGAAGTCACACAGCACTGCAAGAGATGCAGAATGGACAAGTGAGTAAGAAATAGGGTGAGAAATTAAAAACAGTTGTAGTTACTCAGACTTTCAAAATTTATACTAGTAAATACTACAGTGGGTATCAGTGGAGGAGCACTGTGTGAAATATGTTGTGTTGAAATAGTCATTCCCCTTTCAAACACTCATCCCATCCCTTGTCAAGAGCTAGCTGAGGAACACTCAAACAAGCAATGTGAGGAAATTTTTTTACTTCGGCCATTTCTTACTGTCCTTCAAGCATGAAGCTGCCACAACATGACCCAAACTATCCAGCACATTCAGATGAGCCTACAAAACCCTCCTGGCCATTAACTCACAGTTGGGTTTTTTCCCCTAAATTGATGTGCTCAGTACAGCAGTGCTATAACTAAGTCAATTTATTTAGGGGAAAAAAGGGAAAGTTTTTTTAGGTAAATAAATTACTGAACCTGTTTCTTGACAAATGCAAGATGCCCTTCACTGCAAGAATACTAAGAAGTAAGACAGCACTCTTCAACCACATTGAAGATTCCAAATTTTTATCTCCATGAACCACAGAATCAAATAGGTTGGAAAAAACCTCTGAGACCGTCCAGTCCAGGCGATGACCGAGCTGCAGGATGCCAGCTGGACCATGGCACCGAGTGCCACATCCAGCCTTCCCTTAAACCCTTGCAGGGACGGTGACCCCACCACCTCCGTAGTGACACAGACAGGGTAAAACGCGCCTTATTTACGTCAGCTGCTTCGTCTTTTCTATGCTGTAAGCGAAAAAAGAAATCAACCCCAAACCTTGCCACTCATTCCGGAGACTTCATCTAGTTGAACGCGAAAATAGGTTAAGACAGTCGACTCCTAAAAATGTGTCTTACAAGACTAATGGCTGCCCAAAACACGCATACATACATATATATATATATAATTTTTTTAAGGCTTACTGCTTTTCTCTTCCATCCTCCGGGGAAGCTGCTCGGGGAGCTGTCACCCGGCCCAGGTCGGGGTCTCGCTGCGCTCCGCCTCGGCCGCAGGGCCCGCGGGCAGGGGCCGGCGTGCCTCTGGGGCTCGGGGGCCGGCATGGGGCGTGCCTGCGGCCAGAGCTCGGGCCCCACGTCACTCCCGCACCCCTCGGGGCCTCGTCCCGGCCCCCGCCGGCTTCTAATGCTGCTGCTGCTGCTGCTGCTGCTGCTGCTGCTGCTGCTGCTGCTGCTGCTGCTTCTTCTCTTCTCCTTCTCCTCCTCCTCCTCCTTCTCCTCCAACGCTGCACCCCGCTGCCGACCGCCAGGGGGCGCAACCCGCCGGGACGCGCGAGAGCCTGGCTGTGGGCGGCCCCACATGAGGCGGGGCCGCGCGTGCCCCGCCTCTCTCTCTTTCTATTGGTTGAGACGGCAGGCGGGGCGGTGGCAGCGACCAATAGAAAAGCAGGGAGGGGGGCGGGGGCACGGCCGAGGGGCTGGAGGTGCGTCCGCCATGTTGGAGGGGCGGGTCGGGGGGCGGGCTGTCCCGGGGCTGTGGGGGCGCCGCCGCCATCTTGGGGCCGGGGCCAGAGCGGCTGGGCCCGCTGGTGGGGGTGGGTGTCCCACTGCCGTCTGTTCTTTAATGTACCGAAAATTAAAGCGTTTGGTGCGTGAGCGAGTTGCGTAACATCGCTGCTGGCCTCTGCTCTTCTTCCTTGCTGGCTGCGCTAGATTGTCGCTGCCCTTTTCCGTTCGAAATGCGAAAATAAAGTTTTGTATCTCCCTTTAGAATTTTCAGCTGCGTTGCCGTTGCGAGTGTTGGTGTTGTGGCTGTGTAAAGATGTTTTTCACGGGGGCAAAAATATAACTACTCTTAAAAAGCAGGGAGAATACTTTTTTTGCTTTTTTGTGGCTTCTTTTTTGCCACCATTTTAAAACTGTAGAGATAAACATTATATGCTTAAATAATTGCGAAAATCTTTCCCATCTTGTAGATATTGCCCATCTTGTGGCGGGGGGTAGAAATGTGATTATTCTGGGGATGGGAATGCTGTGTTTACATGACTTGGAGCTCTCATCTGACCCAGAAGATTTTGATGTCCAGCATCTATTTTGTACTTCTGTAAAACCTTTTAAATGTTTACGCAGTTGTGCCTACATCTGTGGCTGAAGTTCGGCCCTTGAGAACTGCCCAGCTCCCCAGACAGGAATGAGACAACTTCCAGCAACATTGCTGGGAAAGAGGGTGGCTCAGCACTCCTGATGTGCTGGCAAATCTCTCCATAAAATAGTAGTGTATTATGTTTTTCAAAAGAGACTTCTCCCCTGTAATTGTTCATTTTAAAATTAAACACGAGCTTCTCTTGCTCTTAGAATATTCTGCGTTATGAGGTGCTGCTTGCAGATTAATCTTGTTTTGCTGAATTACTAATATGTGTGCTTGTGAATATTGAATGTTAGTAAACACCTGAGGCTTTACAATTGTATATATGGAATAAACCAAATACAGAGAAGATGGAGCCCTGTGCTGGAAGAATTTGAAAGACCATGACTGCCTGCCTCAGACAAATTTTGAATTTTCTGAATGTATTAGAAAGTACTAATAGATTTTGCTTGCTATCTGAAGCAAAAATAATGGTAAATACGTCTTTCTTAAAACTAAATTAAAGACTTAGGATAAAATTAATGAGGCACTTTTGAAACATGCTGAGTTTCCTTCATTTTGCTTTTAGCCTGGAACTGTAAGATAGCCTTTCTGCAACATAGCAGCCTATTCTGCCAGTGAACCAGTAAGCTCAGTTCTTCCCAAACTTGTTAGGTGGCAGAAGCTCACAAGCGATGCTGAGCTGACATCCCAGCAGCCTGCCTGCAGCTCTCCTCCAGCAGCAGCGTCAGCTTCCTGGGCTCTGCAGTGTGGACCTGGCTGAGAACCTGCACCCAGAGGTGAGGGCAGCGCTCCCACGGGGGACAGCAGAGGACTGGCTGTCCTGGTGAGCGCTGCTGCTGACTGAGCTGCTGGATTAAGCTTTCGTTGCATAGTCTGGTCATATGTCGGGAGTTAAAATGAGCAATTGCATAGACGGGCAGAGTGCAAGTAGCTCCTTGGAGTGGGAGGAGGTGAACCTGGTCCCAAAGGAATTCATCTAATTCTCTTCTCCAGGGATGGTTTTTTCACCTTGAATGCAGTGGGGGTTTGGCTTTTTCCTCATATGACGAGATAGACTTGGGCGAGGTAGAGACATACCAGTAAAACTCCAGCAAACAGCAAAGCAGCAAAGCCACAGACTTTGGAAAGCCATGGGCATTCAGAAAATGGGTTTTTTAAAATTCTGATAGAACTTTTTGTTCTTTTCTGATGGGCTTGGCTCTTTGTTTTATTGACTCTTCTTAAAGTGTCATCATATCCATAGAATACTTCTGCCAGCTCCCGCTCTGTCACATTCTCCCCTGTTATCCTTGGTGATTTAATTTGCTCCCTTACAGATGAGTGTCTGCATTTCATTCTTTCAAAATGCAAGTTTAACATAATCTCTTTTATTACGTTGGTTAGTTTCTGGGGTTTATATGTAGTCTCTTCTTATTCACATGTCTATCTTCAGTAAGGTAACAGAACAGAGAACAGGCAGTTCTATGCAGATCATAGTTCTCTCCTACTTTACAAATTGATTACCAACAAAATGGTTTTAGTGAGGCATACTTTGGTTTATCTTAGAAATTTTGCTGTAACGCATCATTATCTATGAAGACACAGGCTAATATTCCCCGTAGGTATGTTGCTCACTAATTGGACTCAGATTATTTATAGGTCCTCAGTATGTTTTGTTACCATGTTTTGTAATTCTTTTGCTATTGTGGACATGGTAGAGGATTGTTCAGATAATTTTTTCCCAGGTATTAAATTAAATAAAGGGGAGATTATGGGTCTCTGAGAAGCCTGTAAATTAATTTTGTTCTACCTCTGGTGTAAGCATGTTTGCATTCTTGGCAACTAAAAGTCTAACAAATTGTCTGTTTGAGAAGTTGAGGTTCTAAAATCATAGGCTGTTATAGTCCTAAGGGAATCTTAAAACATAGGCAGAGACTGGCTAGGAAAAGGAAAGGAAAAATTTGTGTCACAGTTTTAACAATAGACTTCTTTCATGTGGAGGACCTAGATGTCTGTTAATTACTAACTGGCTTGAGGGTTTTGGAATCTGGCCCAATATGCTGAAATTCTTAACCATCCACTGGCTGGCATTTTCTCCAAGGTCTGCATTTGGAAACTGGTAGTGCAGTGAGTTTCATCTGTTTATGTAGTAGAGGCGTTTTCAGTTTCAGCCATATTTCTGTCTTGCAGTCTCGGTGTTCATTGCCAGCAAAGATTCCAGGCAGCTGTGTGGGCACAGAGAGCAAGGATTGCTTTGGATGTTAGCTTATGTCTGACCAAGATGAGCAGCATGTGTTGCCTTTGCTGTGCCACAGCCCCACCATGCTGATCAAGACCTAAAACTCTGCCCTCTAATTTTGAGTCATGGGAATGAATTAATAAGACCTGAAAGCCTGTGATTACAAGTGCACTTGAAAGGGCCTGAGATTTCTGGAAACCAGGCAGTAGATGTATATGATGAAAGGAATCCGAAATAAATGGATACCTAAAACCCTTTTTATCTTCATTTTTCCATGTCAACGCAGCAGTATATTTATCTGAAATAAATTTTCACTGGTACTTTCTGAAGTAAGGCTTGTGGTTGTAAAATATTCTGACCCTTTTGATGGCTCTTTATGGGTTTGCCTGCAGGGTAAAGTATGCACACAAACTATTTTCATTACGTGAACACATAGGAGACATTAAGCAATCTGCAAGAATTAATGAATTTGTGGTGTTCCCACTCTGAAGAGATGATCTCTGGGGACCCCTACAACTTCATTTTGATTTGCCTTTCGACTTTTAAATCCAAGTGTGGAGGCAGCTGCCCTTGTGGTGCCAGCCGATAGAAGGTTGATGCTGGTCTTGGTAGCTGCTGTGCAAAGGCAAGAGAGGCAGTGCCTGCTGTAGAATTGGACTTGAACTAATTAAAGCCATCTAAAGGAGACATAGGGCAACAACCTGAAGTCATTATTGTGTGTGCTGAAACAACCACTTTCAAATAAAACTGAAACATGTAAGGTTTCAAATGTACTAAAGGGAATTTGACTAAAACCTTAGAAAACAGGGTAGGTATGTGTTGTGGTGTGGAGGTTCAACAACAGAGCTCTTCATAAGACTAAGCAGTCCTTAGTCACAGTTTCCTGTGGGGAAATTAATTTAGTTGAAGAAAATTCTAATTTTGTAGTTGATTTTTTCCTTAATCCTGTTCAATGTGCTGCACCAGCACTTGGTTTGACTTAACTTTGTAGAGGTGTGAAACCAGCAGTAAGGTGTGAGGAACAGGAGCAGCAAGAATGGGAGGGAGTATTATCCCATTAATATTTATTTCCTTTGGTTTGTTTATAAGTGTTTTGAAGGGTCAGGGAAGCCACAGTCCCCTGAACGTTTAAAAGTGGCACTGTCAAAGAAAGAAACAGTCCAGATGCTCCTGTGCTTCTTGGGCTGTCCTGTTCCTTTGTGTCATTACTCACAGGACTGGTTGGGGTTCAAAAAGATACAAAAAAGCCCAACCAAACAAAAAAAAAAATACAAACAAAACCCAAACAAAAACCCAAACCAAACAAAAACCAACAAAAAACCCACCAAAAATCCACCAAAACAAACAAACCAACCCCAAAAAACCAACCAAATAAAAAACCCCAAACAAAACAAAAAAACCCCCCACAAAAGCTTATTTGGCTCAGCTATATTTATCCGAATAATTTTTCCCATCTCATTTGCTGTGCATCCACTTGGTATTTGTGCTTTTCTCAGGGAATTGGAGGTGGTCTAGGTGCAAAATGAGGAGCATCTGGAAATTGATGGATTGCTTTCTAATTTTATTGTTGCTGTCTTTTATCTCAATTTAAAATGTTTGAGCCAGCTACTTCTACAGTATGAGCAAAGTGGTGGTATGGGCAGAATACTTACCATATCTAGGTTATTTTGGATGGTCTTATCACACAGCAGAGCCTGGACGTCTCTGTGTTTCTGTGTTCTCAGTTCTGCTGCATCAAAATCCCCTCCTGCCTTTTTTCAGACAGTGGAGGCAAATGGGTTTCTCTCAGGAGTGCTTGGCTTTAACTTTGTTATTACCTTTTTCCCCTGTAAAATTCTTAAACTACTGGAACCAAAGAAACTGTGTTAAAAATATGTTTGACATGCTTTCACTGAGTGGACTGTGGGCCCAAATCTTTGTAGCCCTTTCTTCTTAAGAAAAAAAAACCAACCCTTTTTCTAAAGACATGTTCCTCATGTGACTACAGTGTATGAATTTGGCATTCTTCTCACAGAAGTGGATACATATGCTATTTGTTACAAAGTAATCACAGTTTAGATTGCGTTCAGGCTGGCATAAAATAACAAAAGCTTTAATGAGATTAAATGCTTCTTGATATATAAATTTAATGTGCATTTACAAAAAATAAACCCACCAAACACTGCTGTTTATCATAGTGAAGTGTGTGGAATTGGTTTCTGTCCAGTTTATGATGTACCAGTTACTTGAGAAGTTGTTTGGTAGCATAGTTTGCTTTCACTTAAAGTGAAGGATCGTTTTGAAGAATGAAATTTTTTTGTTAACAAATTCATAGCAAGGTGTTACAACCCTTGCATTAACAGATCAAGATGTGTGGTTGCAACCTGGGTGTAGAAATTAGCAGAAAGGGACAGGATATTTTTTAAACTGTTTTTCGTGACACATATTGTAGAAATATTTTAAAATTGCACACCCCTACTAAGATGTTTGTGATTGGATGAAAAATTATTGAATTTTTCCTTTTTTTCTTTTATATTGTCTGTATTGATAAAGGTAGTTCCAAAGATTTCAAACAATTTACATTTAGTAAGTACCACAGTTCTTCTCACTTCTCCAAAAGATGTACTTTTAGGGGAGGTCAGAGGGGTTTGTTTTTTCCTGGCTGTTGAATTTTCATGGTGCCCAGCAGGCTGCTCTGCCTGCCTCTGCAGTCATGTCATTCCTAGAACTGATGCAAGGCAGTTGATGGCAGTAAGGGCTAGAATTCTCATTTTGACAGCAAAGTGTCCTTAGAGCAACTTGATAAACTGTGAAACAACATTTTAAAATTATTTTATAGTGTGAGTTAAAAACATCCCTTCTGATAGCACAGAAATCTTTGTACTTTACTTTTCCTGCTGCAAGAGACAAGAATTAAGATGGAAGAAAATAATGCTGCATAACTGGATTTTGAAATGTGGGGACAGTTGTGTGACATCCATCGGATCTTTGAGTGGTCTTTCTTAAAGATCCTGTGCCAGTGTAGCACAAAAGCACTTGTACAAATTCATACACACAAATTTATTGCAGCAAAAATACAGTTTGTTTGATCTTAAGTGTGGGAAGGAAGTTGTGTGTGGCTTTGTAAGTCAAGGCACTGGGGACTGCTGAATATGGAGAGGTTAATATTGTGTGGGAAGGGTTCACGTCCAGCAGCTGTAGTGTCCTGAGCATTCAGCTCTTTGTTTTGCCTACTTTCATATGTCAGCAGGGAGGCACGGCTGTATCAGCTTTCCCTCTTCAAGTGTATCTTGTGATTGTGTGCTTTCACTTTCTGCAGTCAGACAGCTCTCTTTCACTTCTGCAAATAAGCAAAATTTATTTTGGACTACCAGTTCATGGTGGTCATTCACTCCCTGTTGCTTTTAGCTGCAAGAGAAACTGTCTGCAGTATATGATTTATTTGTCATTAGAAATAAGCACCGAATTGAACCTTATAGAGTGGGTGCAGGACTGCATGCTGGTTGTAGTCCTCTGTTAGGGCAAATACTGTGTATACCATATAGTCCCTGGGAAAAGTCTTGGGGGAGGGGTGGGGGG